GCCAGTATGTTTCCCCCGAGTCTTTCACCACTTGAGAAAATTTCCACTAACAACCACACAGACAAGCCCCGCTGGAACATCAACATCTTCGGCGAGGAGGAGGAGAAGCCTGCCGACCACAAGGTCATCCTGTAAAAGTTTGGATGGATACCCTCTTAGTCGGTTAGAAAATTAGGCAATGAATAATGATAAATGTATATTGCTATATGCACTGAGTTTGCTCCAACTAGATATGAGTATTATGCAATTAGGATACCGCGGACAAAAGCGTAAGTCAATATTATCTTATTCATGAGACGAAGGGTATTGGAAGCCCGTAGACCTTCGCCATTTAAGCTCGTGGAGGGAATCTAAGGATTTAGTGGTCACTCGTACCCAGTCACCCTATGGAGTTATCTATACGAAGTATGCATATAAAATTCGCGGTACTACTGTCGATGAAACTGATCAAGGCCGGCTTAAAGTCGAAGGAGTTTCTTGTTCAAAAATTTATTTGGAAAAGATTCAATCCCTGTCAACCCCTTCAAATTCGCAAGCCGCTGGTATGGCCAGTCAAACAATGGAACCGCCTCCCCACACATATCTACAATGCTTCATTGGACTTCGCCTTCGAATCTCTGGTTGTTTGTAATTCAAAACTGGGTATATGAGAAGAAAAAGGAAATTCGTCGCAAACACTATCTCGCCATCATTAGATCTGTCAAGCTTCTGAGTGAATTGGTCGTTGGTGATTTCCAACCACCGGCCCGGCATCCATTTCATGATAGACTGTAGCCGGTGACATGGGACTCGATGCTTCATATATCGAGCGGCCATCCAGCTGCGCAGCCTGTGGACCCACGGGCTTACGAGGTAGTGGTGGCTTCAATTCTCCAACGGGAACGACTTGCTCCTGTACTTGCGGTGGCTTTTCGGCTGATTCTTCCGAGAATGGCGATTCGGGAGATACGGATCGAGTGTTTTTCGCTCTTTGCTGTCGTCGCCGCCGGAGGAAAAACCATACCATCACGACGATGAGCATGACAACCACGACAACCCCAATGGCGATACCAGCTTTGGCTCCTGCGCTGAGAGAACTACCCGATGAGCCAGACGAGCATGAATAAGAACTCTTAAAGACATCATCAGAGTTGAATTTGTCGAATGCGCTGCAGGACATTGAACTACTGCCTCTGATGGTGGCTGAGCCTTTAACTTGGTCGAGCGATGGCAAAGATATACTATTCGAGTAAGTAAATTCTATCTTCATCCGTCAATTCATAGGTCATATTGTCTACCTTGAAAAGGCTCCAGTAAGTGTCAATTCCCCGTCAACTTCCTCGAGCTGTGGGAAAGTGAGGTATTTCAAGTTCGAATTCCGGGTTATAGAGATGGACGACGCTTGCGACAGGTCATTCAAGGTGAGAGATGCCAACGAGTCCAAGTTGGCCAACGTCAAAGCACCCTGCAACTTTTCCAGCTTCGGCAGGACCAAGGTATTAATGCTTGATCCGGTCTCCACTGAGAATGAGCCCTTGATCTCCTGTACATTGCTCAAGGTGATGGTTCCACTGGCCGAGGATGAAATCGTGACGCTACCCTGGAGAGTCTCACAATTGGTCAGATTGTTCGCATCGCTCTGACTATTAATGGTGACACTGGTTTTGCCTGAGATTGTCAGCGTGACTGGCAAGAGTAGAAAAATCATTAGTGGGTCCATAGGAGCTCACAAGCAATATCATCGGCAACCACCGTTGCTGTTTGCCACAGCGCAGCTATCAGAAAGAAAAAGGAGACATGCATCCCCAGAATGTGTTCCTCTTTTCTCAGAACGCAAGGAATTTTTCTGGAATTTTCAAGAGAGGAAAATGGCAAGGTCTCAGCATTTAAACGGCAAGTCCCGATCCATGATGGCATGGAGCCTGGGCCAATCTCCGCTGCTCCACCAAGGCACGATGCAGGAAATAAATTGATTGGGCATGCAGAGCAATGGAGGTGGCACTGCCCACTTCCCCACTGCGTTCGAGCTGTTTACTTGCTCGTTCCCCTCAGTGCTTTTATTCTCCGAAATTTTATGTTCGGGAGGATCCTCTTTTTTTGAGTACAATACGTTCATCGCTATATTCAACTCAGACCATTTCATACTACTACAGAGAAACTCGAACAAAAAAATCCAATTGATTCAAATATTAAGCATAAAACCTTTCATTGCATCATATCACCATCTTCATTCCCCCACTTAGTAAAGGGCTTCCGTTTCTATTTTTGCGCTTGATCCGCGGTAGGCAGCAGAATTGCCGATTCGTTTTGAATTTCTTGGATGTTCTTGGGAGACTGGGATTAGCATGCCCCACGAGAGGGGAATGTGCCGCGATCCGGTTTTTTATTATGGACCTCGACTGGCCTGATGTGCTTGATATCTGTCGATTGAAGGTATTCCTGTGGCTTAATGTTTATACTCCCTCTCATAGTTCATTCTCCCTGCTTCACCCATGGATTGTCTGCCAAGACCATTAGTCAGTAAGGTATCAAGGCATCAAGATGAGTCAGCAATTTGCGGGGAAGATGCGGAGGCACCGAAGTGACGGAGTGCAATTAAACAATTCTACAATGACCATGTTGCCCACTCTACAATCCCTGCCTCCGTCCTTATGAGAGTGGGCAAAGGCTGTGAAAGGTGTCGCCATCGCCATATCCGCTGCGTCATCCCACCGGGTGCTTCTGCTTGTACTCCTTGCACCCGGTTGGATCGGGTCTGTCATCTCGACCCGCGCTTCCAATTCAAAACAGTGCGCCATGTGTATCAGAAGAGCAATGGTTCCGCCGCTAGGTTCGATTTAGTTTGGGATGACGAGCAGGTCTGGGTCGACGTGGAGCAGCCCGGTGAGTTTTTGGCCACTCAATATATCCTTGTTGACTCCAAACTAACCTGCTATCCTAGTGACATTTGTCGACGGAACGAGCGATGGACCTAAAACAGGCGAAGAAACTCAGCAGCCGCCTGCTGCCATTTCCAGTGGTGATGATCGCATCGCCAATCCCTCGCTACAAGAACCTTCATCGATTAATACCGAGGTCCCTATCCCAGAAGAACCGCCCGTACATCCAGACCAACTATCGCTCGCGGATTTCCCACCTTATCATACCAGCAGCCCAGTGCGACCTCCACCTGACGAATATCCCACATTGTCACTGCGAGAGGCATCTTTAATGAGACGCTTTATACAAAATATCGCACCATGGGTAAGTTCAAGTTCATATCGGCTCCTTGTTCAAGAGCGTCCTCGATCTTATAATACCTTTAGGTGGACATCTGCGATCCTTGGTCACACTTCACCACAGTCATTCCGCGCCGGGCTTTGCAGGTCCCAATGGTACTCAAGGCAATTTTGACTCTTGCGGCGCGTCATGAGGCGATCTTGACCGGCCAGAGTGACTGGGAGGCCTCCACCTACCATGGCGAGTGCCTAGAACTGCTGATCCCAGCCCTAGATCAACTCGAGCAGGACCTCGAGGAGAATCTTCTCATCACCGTTGTAATCCTCCGAATTTGTGAAGAGCTCGAGAATAGCGAAGACCAGAGGTTCCATCTAACCGGGTCTAACCGTCTCGTCAATCTTAGTTCACGCTCCGGGTCATCGCGCGGGATTGTGGAGGCTGTGAGCTGGCAATTCCTGCGTCAAGCTATCTACTCATCCATTGTACAGTACCAGCATCTGGAACTGGATCTGTACAACTATGAGCGATCGTCGATGTTTCAACGAGACGATGATTTCGCCTTTGCCAACATGGCCATCTTCCACTGCGCGCACATCATCCAACTATGCCGTGTTCTACCCGATAATCCCGTTGACGAGCAGTTGTGGGGTCAGGTAGCGGATGCAGTCGATGGGTGGTATCAACATAGGCCTCTTACCTGGCAGCCGCTTCGGTATCAAGACCCCGATGTGACTGAGGACCGACCCTTCCCTGAAATATGGATGACATCGGCCCCGGCTGGTATGTTTCCTGGCGAGTTTCCACCCTATGTCATAACTGACGATTTGCCTAGTTGTGGGAATGCAATATTACCACGCAGCATGTATCTTTCTCACTATGTCGGATCCTGGGTCGCGAGGCTTGCGGGAGTTCGAATTGGCTCGAACCCGGCGCTTGGCCGAAGTAAGCTTTCTTGATTTCAGCAATCTCTCTCCATGATTTTAACAAGGCTGATAGAGAAAAAATCGCGGTCCATGTGATCTCCGTCATAGGACTATCATGGTCAAATGAAGATGTACAAAATGCCTACTTTCTAGCCTGTCATCTACTATATCGCTGTTCGTTCTACCTTTTTTCCAAATCGCATCACTGTTCATTGCATCCAGCAGTTGCTAACCCCTGCCAGTTGGATATTGTCTACAGCATCCGGTAGAGCAAAGAGGCTCATTAGAGTTCCTTTCGCATGTGGAAACTCTTCTTGGATGGCGAACTGCATGGATTCGAAGTGAACTTAGCCACCAATGGGGTGAATTGGCCGTGGTTGAACCGCCGAGTACATAGTGCTGCAGATGCTTAATTGAAGTATAGAAAATGCCTCAATTGGGCATTTCCATCGATTTGTACTCTGGCGGCCGATTCCGCCGCACCTCACTCTTCCTCTCCTCCCACAAGCCCTTCCTCATTCACTCCCTTCTTCTTCTTCTTCTTCTTCTTCTTCTTCTTCTTCTTCTTCTTCTTCTTCTTCTTCTTCTTCTTCTTCTTCTTCTTCTTCTTCTTCTTCTTCTTCCTTCACTTCTCCTCGCCAGCCTCTTCCTGCTCGCTTAAGCCTGTCACAAAATCAACTGGCACTCTTTGCCTGGATCATCTTGCTTTCACTTCTATATTCTACCGTTCCCAACTTCCTTTCCTTCGCTTCCTTCGTGTGATCTTGTCTGATCATTTAACAACCTCGACTCGTCTTACTCCGTCCTTCATTTTTATTTATTTTTCGACTATTTTCAATTCGAAGTCCTCCCAACGGGAACTCACTGGCTGGTCTACAAATGGCGGAGGGAAGGTGAGACATCTTTGCGAACGACTACCACTCAACTCCGGGCTAATCCATGTCTCCGCCAGAGCCACCGGTCCTTTCTCGCCATTTGTGAACTTGGGTCTCGATCTAACTAGAGAAGAAGTCGTGGACGCCATTTTCGAAGCCGCAAGAAACAACCCTTCGGGAAATCCTCTTACGTTGACTATCGGTGGCTCTCAGTTGCTGGTCCTGTGCAGTCGCAAATACCAATTAGAATTGTGCTACAAGTTGGGTCGCGATGTGCATCATATACCAGGACGCATGACCAGGGAACAGTGGCTATCCACAGATCCAGCGTACATTGATGCGCTCCTTATTCAGTCACGCGGCCTACCACTAGTCGAATCCTGCACCGACTGGCTCCGGAACTTGGGGCCATTCCCACGGTGTGTTCGTCTCCCCGGTCACTATGGCGGCATTTGTGGAAACTGCCGGTATGACAAACGCGATAAGGAGTGCACTTTGCGATGGCATGGTGGAGGCAACCGCACCACTTGCGCATGGGAATCAGTGATAGCCACCCAACCCTTGTCCGACTCCGAACCCTCCTCATCCTCCTTCGGGCTTCTTTCCTCGCCACGAACCGAATACTCCTTGGGCAGCTCTCAGTCGAGCGCCATTGTGATCGAGGGTTCTCCACGGTACAGTCAATTTGGCTCCTCTCCGCCATCTTCACAACATCTTCGCCACAGAGGAAATACTCCAAAATCCTCCTCTATCCGCCCTCCTACTGTTTCGCCTCAGCCTTCGTACGCGATTGCTGTGGAAATACCGCTACCAAGTTCGATAGAAGAACCGGCAGGAAGTTCAACTTTTAATCCGATATTAATCACCGAATCGGATTCTGGGGACAAGGCCGACTCTGGAGATGAGGACACGGATGATGATATGGACATGGATATTGATGAAGACTACATCATTTATTTGCCGGATAGCAAGGAGGATGACCCGGATTATATTGAAAGTTCCGACTCGTCCGAGGAAGAAGGATGCGAAGAAATCCCCCACCCCGAACAAACAATCGACGAAGACTCAGATGAGACATGGTGACTTCGATAACTCATACTCATACTCATACCATGCCCTTTTTCCAGCGACTCTATCTGACCATATCTACCACACTTCCTATGTCCGAGTGGATTGTTATTCTCCAACCCAATCCAACATCACGGAACGCAACATGTTATACTGGTTGCTATAGCTTGAATAGTAATGTGTAATAGAATATTCACGAGAGGAATAAATATAACTTCAATGAATATGAAAGCAACCGAATATCCTCCCACAAGTAGTACCCTATGGGAACATTAGCCTAAAGGCAGAATCATTGATAAGCAGCGATAAGCGGGTCCCACTTTCACTGGCAGTTTCACACTGGAGGAACCTTAGGAACTTATTCTCCTCCGACTTCCCCTCTACTCTGCTCTTCTTTTGTTCTTCTCTTCTCCTTCAACCTTTCCTTCCTCCTCATGGTTACTTGACCCGCTGGCCATGGGAGGTCATCACCACCGATGCCACGCCGAAAAGCCGCTGACCGAGCAGGACCGGTGAAGACCCGCTCTCGTGACGGATGCAAGGAATGCCGTGCCAGTCGCGTGCGATGCGACACCAAGAAACCCCGTTGTACCCGCTGTTCCGAGAAAGGATTGCCCTGTACCACTACTCTCGTCCTGAAATGGGAGTCCGAATTCGCCAGCCGAGGCGTCGCCTTTGGCCGCGCCGGCGTCTGGAACAAACCTCGCCCTGATGGTGTCTCCTCGAACTCGAGCTCCGTCCCTTCGACTCCTGCTACTTCAACCGCTGAGGACACATACTGGTGTTCCTTGCCCACCATTCATCCATGGGGATTCGTCAATAGCGGTGTACTCGCCTTTGAAACCCACGGCGAAGTCGATGTCAAGTCGAACGAGCTACAGACACTGGTTCCGCTGATCCAAGGCAATGCCTCGCTAGGCCAATTGCCTCTTCATCTACACTCACTGGGGGATCTGGGTGGACTTTCCGCAGCGCTTCATCCGAACCCTAGAGCTGGCCCGTCTCTCTTCCCGGATGTGACTCGAATGGGACATGGAGAACTGATGGACTACTACCTACAGCAAGTCTGCCCCCGCACGACAGCCAGCTCGTCCGTCTCATCGCCATTTGCCTCTGTAATTCTGCCCTTCAGCTTATCTGCCTCCCCCACCCTCTTCAAAGCGATCCAAGCGCTAGGAGCCTGTCATCTCTCTCGTAGTGATGCGTCCTATGGTGCTTTGGGACTACGTTTGAAGTCAGAGACTTTGCGCGATCTCCGGCACCGCCTTTCGTCCGAAGGCCCCTCCAACTGCTGCAACGACCCCGAAATATTGGTCGTCATGATGCTACTCTGCCAATACGAGATCGTCGACAAATGTGATCCGCATTGGACAATCCACCTGAACGGTGCCAAAGATCTAATTCGCCTGAGGAGAGGACAAGCTACAGCGTCATCATCTCCATCGGTGCGTGTCCCCGACCCAGCCACCGCCTTCGCGGAGCATTTCTTCGCCTTTCAGGATGTCATGGGTCGAACGGCGTGTGCTAAAGAAGTCGCCTTTGGCAGCGACTACTGGAAAGCGGATGATCGGCACATTGACATGTGGATGGGATGTAGTCCGGAGTTGGTCTCCCTTCTCTGTGCTATTACTGACATGAGTCGCGCCCGACGCACTCTGGACTCCGATTCCTCCCGCGAGAGCTTTGCGCACCGAGCGGCATCGCTAGAAGGACAACTCGAGCATCTCATCCAGGAAATTGAAGCGGGCGATGATGATGTTCTTACATCGGGAGCTGAAGCCAAACGTCTTGCAGCGGTGCTTTACCTGCACTGCGCGTTGTATAGTGCCTGTCCCACTAGCCCGCCGGTCGCCCACTACGTCCGGCAGATTCTTCAGATCGTGTCTCATCTGTTAGATCAGGGAACCCTGACGAGCATCACTTGGCCTGTCTTTGTCGCTGCGGTCGAATTGGACCCGGCCCAGGATGAGATTTGGACAGACGATAGCGGGAAGCCGGTGTCTGGCCGAGCAATTGTGCTTCGGGCGCTGGCTGCTATGGCCGAGTCTACGATTGCAAATATTGCGCGCACTCGCGCGGTGATTGTCCAGTTGTGGCAGACGCGAGACCAAGATTTGGTCAAGGCACCGCAGATTGAGGGAAATGACTGGGAGTGGTACGTGGTGCCGATTAGCGATGCCATGAGCTTGGCTTGAGGCAATGTTGTAATGATCCATAGTATAATTTAATAATTTGCCTAATACCGTTCGTTAAATAACCTGTAATTATCTAAACTATACTCCTCTACTCTATAATTAGTATATTATACCATACTCTCACACAATGGAATGCTGCGGGGTCCCCGTTTCAGGTTTAGCGCCGATGCGGGTTGGAGGAGGACATCACCTCAACTTCAACTTCCACTTCAACTCCATCACCCATCTTATCGCACCTCGCTCTCACTAAATACCCCCAGCATAATGTGCTTATACACCCGCGATCCCCTTCTTCCTCAATAGATGCCCAAATGGACCCGGCTCGACCGCCGGCGCCTGGCCGGAGCACCTCGGCGCAACACTTCGAAAGCAAGCTCAGCCAACAATTATCACAACCCAGACAATCAGAGTCTATTGACATTCACTCTCCCAAATCCAAGTCGCGCTCCCTTTCCGATGCCTCCAAACCTTCAACTTCCACCTCCGCCTTCTCCCACCCCCAACCAGCAACGGGTGACTTGAGTCGTCCCCCCCAGTAAAGACGACAGTGTAATCCCTTCACTGCCTTCCACCCCGAGTCGTCCTCAACACAACCCAAACCTCTCGATTAACCTCCCCTCCAAGACTGCCGGCTCACCTCTCACCAACCATGCCCCCCTCTCTCCTAAACTCGATTCCTCCCAGATTTATGGATCCCCGGGCTCCGTGCTTCCGCGGCGATCTCGGGGCCTGGATTTCTCTCGCGCTTGCACCAACCTTCACCACTCGACTCTCGCCGAATCGTCGCCAGACTCATCCCCCACGATTGGAGGTCGCGGAATGACTATCCCTCAGCGTCGCGGCTCTCTCAATCTCAACTCTACCTCGGTGCCGGTGTTCTCCACCTCCGGACCGGCCGACCGTACCGCCATCTCCAGCTCCGTCTCCAGTGTGAACATGATGGAATCCGACACTAGCAGCAGTGAAGACGATGACGCCGCCATGATGGACCGCGATGATCCCATGTTGAATACTCCTCAGGCCAACCGCATGGCCAGTGGACCTAGCCCCTTCACCACGGGCAACATTCAAAGCCCCGGAAACGACTGGATGGGCCCATTCTCTGGCCCGGTGGGTAGCCTGTTAAGCTTCCAACGTGCACGCTTCCGCAATAAAGGACGCAGTCGACACAGCTCTAGCAGCGCCAGCGGTAACAGCTCTAAACCCAGTCCTGGCCCACACTCTCCACCAGCGATGAAGAGCGTTGAGAACTCCGTGGGTGGCTACTTTGCTCCGCGGCAGAGTGCTCATGGCCGGCGTGAGAGCTTGAGTCTAGGTACTCATGATCTACGACTCTCTGATCTCAGTGATGATGGGGAGAATCGTGCTCGCGCAGGCAGTCCCACCGCTGCTCCTCATTCTGAGGGAGGCGGGGGTCCGCTGGGGGTGATTCGCCGTGCTGTCACTCGACGAGGAAGTTTGCTGGTACGTCTAATCGAATATTTCACACTCTCCGCCCTTGTCATCCATCTCACCCTTCTAACTCATTTGACAGCCCAAAACCAAAACCTTTGCTCGGATCCGCGCCGCGTTGATGGAAGAGGGAGCCCCAGTCGACAGCGACATGAAACGTGAAGCCGAAGTGGTTCGACAAGTCCGCGATACCGAACCCGAGACATCTCCTACCCTTGGCGCTACTGTTCCACCCAATTCATCATCCCAGGCCATTCCAGAAATGGAATCAATCTCGGAGACCTTGGACATGGCCAGTCCACCCACGAGCACCTTCAGCAAGCAGGCCAGTCGGAATTCCGGCGGGGTCGAGTTCTGGAACTCCTTTGATGGTCGCTATCGTACTCCCCCGCCCAGCCGTGCACCAGGAGCATCCGCCAACGACGATGATATGGTCATGGAATTTCCCGCTGACTTCAAGCCCCATTCGCGCTCATCCACCCCGCATGCGCAAGGCACCGCAGGAATCAGCGAAATTAATCGCAAGCGGCGCCGCGAGGACGACTTTGATCCCAACCTCTTCAAACGTCGGGCCGTGTCACCAAGTGTGAGCGCCCAGAGCAGTCCAGTAATGACCCACTCGTCCACCGTCGACACCGGCCCAAGCATCTGGGGACCTCCATCTAAACTTGGTCCCCCTTTCTCTGAACGACCCAGCACGGACAAACGCGCGAGTCTGGACAATGGCAGTCGCCCCATTCCTCATACGGGAACCCCCAAACGGGTCGGTCTGCAGGGCATGACCGAGGCAAGCGATGGATTTATGAATATGAGCATCGAGTAGATGGATCATGGCACTTGATAATCATTCGGGAAGGCGCTTTATGTCTGGCATTAGCATTGTTTCTTTTCGGCGTTGGGATTTTTCCACAGATACACACTCTTTTTTTAGCGATATGCGCGAGATACCTAATAGTTGTATGATTTGAATTTATTCTTTACACTGTAATTGCCTGTTCCTGTGCACTTAATGGTTGTAATATATCCAAGTTCCCATGTATACATACTTTGTTGTACTTTGCTCTGTTGTGATGTTGCCTCGGTGGGTCTTCTCCGCCCGGAGCTCCCCTCGGGGCCTCCCAATTGTTGTCCACTCCTCTTCAGCTCCAACTTCAACTTCTCCTCTCCCTCCATCCTTCACTTTGCTGCTACTCTAACCTGCGGCATGTCTACTACTATCGAACACGCTTCGGCTTTTATTGAGGGCGCTCCGCCCGGCGAGGTATGCTCCCCACCCCACCCTGCCACGAGGGGGGTCTGACCCGATCTCCCTACACTGCCCCTCCTGGTGTTTTGAAGACCTCAGCTGATTGGAATTGACCCCGAATCTATAGCTCGCCGACGTCGTTGCCGGTAAATCACCTCCTCCCTGACCTTACCCCCCACCTACCCCGTGCCTCGCTTGTTGATACTGAGTTCTGTCGCCGATTATAGATGTGCAGGCCCTGACCTCCGAGGAGGGCGATATCATTCCCTCTCTTGCCCCCGCATTCGAACGATACAATGAAGCCCAGCTCACCACCGTGAAGCTACCGGGCTCTAGCCAGGAGGTGTGAATACCCGCTCTTCAATCGGCTACTACCATGTTTACTGACACCGCTGGAGGTTATCGTCAGTCAATTCAATAAGGTCGAGGGCAACCGCTACTTCGACCCCGAGAGCCAGACCTCATTTGAGATCGATCACATTACCCAGGTATGGTAGGCAGCCCACGTCGACGGTATAACCTGCTCACGAGTTGGAACAGACTGCCTCCGCGGCCCAATCAGCACCATTGGAATCGCAGAACGCCGATTTGATGTAAGGACCCCGGGGTTGAGAATGAGCATTGAAATCGACAACCGCTGACGGAAATAGTAAATCACTCATCAAGTCGCTGGGCATCCACGCCCGCGAACACTACCCCAACTGCTCATACGGCGTGTACCCGACCGAGAACGACTCGGCCGTCGCAATCCTCCTCGTCGCTAACCGCTACTCCCCGAATAACTTCTGGTACGTTTCCAAGCTCTTTCGAATGGGGGCAGTATACAATTGTATACTGCATACCGATAAGCACAAACTAACCACTCCTTCTCACAGGAACGGTCGTTTCCGTGCGATCTACCAAGTCCCCGTCTCTTCCTCCTCCACCTCCATCAACGGCAATATCCACGTCGACGTGCACTACTACGAAGACGGTAACGTCTCCCTCAACACAACCAAGCCAATTGCCCTCTCCGTGCCCAGCATCTCCGCGGAGTCAATCATCTCGCGCATCGCTACGGCCGAGCGCGATTACCAGGAAGAATTGAACCGGGCGTTTGTGGCTATGGCCGAGGGCACTTTCAAGGGTCTTCGACGACAGCTACCTATTACTCGGCAGAAGGTTGAGTGGGAGAAGGTCGGTGGATACCGATTGGGACAGGATATTTCTGGCGGCAAGGGTCGTTGATACATAGCGTGATTTTGGGTGGAAGCGTTGGCGATGGTCTTGATCCTGAGACCGATATATCCTCAATTACTTGGTCAAAGTAGTGTCTTCTAAGTGGAGTGATTTCTCGGATACCATGTAGTCTTTTCTGTACCTCAAGTACTGTCCTGTCAAGGTGTCAGTGCTCTCGTGATGTCGGCCGTGCTCCGACACGAACCATCAGCACCAACCTCCACCAAATGGCACAATCGCCCAGTCTAGTCTATCCAACTCTGGTACCATCCAATCGATAAGTGTGGTCCCAGACTATTTAATCTAAAAGTCCCAACAAAACCATCCAATCGGGCTGATTAAGCGCGGTCAGTGGAAACCTCCACTTTTCTTTTCCCCGCGACCCCGGAATTTGCATTTGGGAATTTCCTGCCTTTCCCTTTTGCTCTCCTCTGCTCTACTCTACTCGACTCCCTCTCTCCCCCATCCCTGTCACCAACCCCAGGGCCCTTCTTCCAATGATCTCCCAGATAAACCGCTTCGTCAACAATGGCGCTGGTCTGGAAAAGACCCTCCGTCTAATCCAGTCCTCAGCCCAGGTCGCCAGCGTGTTCACCGTAAACAGCACCGCCGTGCGCCTGACAACCGCAAAACTCCAATTGGCACTGAGTAAGCATTCCGATCCTCAATTGACATCCCGAGATCTCAGACTTCAGATCTATCATTACTGGAAATAGACAATAAACTAACCATTCCCAGCACGGCGCTTCTTCCGCTTCTTCGGCTTCATCGAGTCCTTCCAGCGCGTCGCGGCTCTACTAAACAGAGATGCCATGGGATCGATATCCGGATGGCTGGATATGGCTAAATGGACCTGTTTCGGTTTCTACTTTGTTCTGGAGGATTTAACTATTGTACGCTATGCACCCTTTTCTTTTCTTCTCACCGCCATCACCACCACCACCACTTACTAACAAAAACAGCTCCACGCAATGGGCGTCTACGCCGTCCCTGGGAAGAGCGCATCATGCGCGAAGCAAACACATACTGGTTCTACGCCTTATGTTTCTCACTACTGGGAACACTCTACGCGCTCTTCTTCTCCAGCAACGAAAGTCAGAGCAAAGGCAAGGGCAAGAGGGGTGGACGGAAGAGCGAGAAGGCGGCTGCTGCTTCTAAAATCGACTCGTCGGCGCTGTGGACGGCTTTCGTCATTGATGGGTGTGACTTGTTGATTCCGGCTGAGCTTTTGGATTGGATGCCCACGGGTGATTTGGTGATTGGGTCTACTATGATTATTAGTACGCTTTTGGCGGCTAGGAGGATTTGGAATAAGGTGTGAGATTGTGTTATTATGCCGGAGGTGGGAGGAGAGATGCGCTTTGGCGTGGTGTGGTGTGGTGTGGTGATGTATGGCACGGGATGTTGATATAAGAGAGACTCGGAGGAACTGGGTGTGTATACGATCATCTTGATAGAAACATACTCGCATAGAATAGACTAGACAGCATACAATTGCAGCCATGTGAGCTTAGGTGTCACTAATAATGTCTACAATATGAGAATCTATATTTTTTATTATTCAGGAGCAACTACCGTTGGGATTGGGATGGAGTCGAGCTTAATCCAGCGCGGAGGTAAGGGTAGGACGACTGTATGAGTAGTAGTATATGTCAAATCTGAAGAACTCTCGTCGGGTATACCATGTACTAACGACCCAATTGAAGAATCTCTATGTTCTTCTGCATGATTGAGAATTGTTTACAAAAAAAAAAAAAAAATGTATCCAGATCTTGCTAAGATCTGGCAAAAATGGACTCGCGGGGAATCGAACCCCGGACCACTCCCATGCTAAGGGAGTATTATACCACTAAACCACAAGCCCAATTGGATGAAATGCGGGCCGACTTTAGGCTACATGAGCCAATATACTGTACTCCCACCACAAGATTAGCAAGTCATGTAACCTTGTCAATGATTCTACAAAACACAACAGCTAACAGATTCAACATTGCCTCCGAAGACAATCATTTCACTATAGGATACTATTAGATTAGTAAAATCTATAGAGAGCAGAAAATACCTTAGGACCCTATGTGATAATCAAGATACGGATAGTTAATTGCCCTACTAGTAGACCACTCAGCCAAACTGTCTCAGAAATATATTAGCACCTGTATACAAGTTTACTGGTAGTATTGTAAGGGTCAGAGAGTATCAAAGCAAGTTTTAGAGAAAAAGTTACGATAATAGCTGCCGGAGCCACCATATCTTTGCCCTAGATCATGTTTTCACACCTTTTCCTCTTAATGTCAGTTTAAGCCATTAACGCTGGTACTTCAACCCTACTGACTTGGCTGTTGGTGATTCTGGGAGGAAAGTGCCAGGTACGCTGAACTTTGAAACTTATATTGAACTTTTGAAAATAAATCTGTACAGTATTCTTGTCTATCCTATCCACTTTGTATCTTACACCAAGCGTCCAGGCCAGTTGCTTATCAAATCGTGAAGTATGTTGTTCAAGTTCATGTTGGCCCAAAATCTCCAAAACCCAAGTCCTGAGTATGTGACCATAGTTTGGGCAAGCATCGAGTACCCAAAAAATACAAAAATTTCCTTATTAGGCAGTTTGGCCGAGTGGTCTAAGGCGATTGACTTGAACGACTCCATTCTTCGGGCATCAATTCTCTTCGGAGGCGGCGGTTCGAACCCGCCAGCTGTCGTTTTTGCTCTTTTTGGTCGCGCGACCGGCATTATGGGCAGTTTCAGGTACGAGCATTACCTAAAGCGGCCATGCTTGCACAGCCTTGCCACGAAGAAATACGAGGGGCGATGCAAATAAACTTCGCTCGATTCAGCGTGTGATCGACAGCTGGAGACCCGTGGATACGAAGCCCGATTAGGCAAGTCTCGTATCTGGGCTGAAGAGGTTCATGGAGCATCGATGGCAAGGAAGGGGATATTTAAATACAGAATTCTGTCCTTGACAAGATGGAATCATCAGGAAACTTGAACTTGAACGTTACGAAACGAGATCACTTCTTACATTATACCATCTCCATCATGACTACAACCACAACCACCCAAGTCGATGACTTCAAAGAGCCACTCGCCTCAATACCAAGCAGGACTACTAGTACCAGCACACTCTACACACTCACTAAATCAACCTCCTTCAACCCCACACGCAGCCTAGCAGTCAACTCCCGCGGAATCGGCGCATTTCGACTCCCCATCCCCTCACGAGAGACCGAAATCGCCATCCAAAACCCCGACGGAAGCGACGCCTACATCTCCACGCGGGACAAACTCTGGTCAGGAAATTGTGTACTTTCACACCCGAAGCAAGGAAACCTTATTCGCACAGACTATTTCTTCGGGCCCAATCGTGAGCCTATTTTACGCCTACTGCAGACATCGAGTGTTCTCCCGGATGAAGTCAAAGTGACCGGACAATGGACGTCGCGGAGGACGCGCTTTGCCATGCCGGATGGACAGGAGTATGAATGGGTCTACGCGAAGGAAAAGACTGATGGTCAGCGTACCAATTTGCTGGTTCTCCGGGCTGTCAATCACAATGTCAAGGGAGAGGGGAAATTGGAACACCGGCAGATTGCGCAGTTAGTGCGTGGAGCGGAGACTCGGACGCCCGGAACCTCCCGGTGTACGGCTGGCAACGGGGGTGAATTGCAGATGGATGAAGGGGCGATGGAGGGGCAATTGGATGCGGGGGTGGTTGTTGCGACGTGTTTGATGATGTTGAAGAAGGAGGTTGATCGGAGGAGAATGATCCAGCTTTGTGTGATCGGCGGTGCTGGTGGTGGATCATAGATGGGCATGGGCATGGGCACTTGGGCTTTTTGTTTGGCTTCATATTTATTTCTTCTCTTGAATGTAAATGTATAGTATAGTATATTTCTAGATATCAATCTTCAGCACTGCTCTATTCTATAACTCCATACTTCAAGTTCTCATCTCATCATCACCCATCTGTATACTCGTAGTATCAGGGAGAGCCTGCTCTCCCATTAATCAAACCCACCACTTTACTTCTTCTCATTCAACAGCCCCGCAATGTGTGGATTCAACCAATATTCACCCAAAACCTCCGGCTGCATAGTCTTCGCACCAGAGATCCATCCCCGACATTCTCCCGCACCACAAATACACTGGAAGGGCTGATCCATCTCCCACTCAGTACTGGGATAGAAGAAGGTAAGAGCATCGCCCTTCTTCAAAGGCTTGTCATCAACGACGCGGACCTCCATGCGCGACATATCGAAGACTAGCGATGGGGCACAGGAGTGATTGCAATAGACCAGGTCGGAGTTCAGCTCGATGTGGGTATCACGGCCAGTTTGCACGCTGGTGTAGGCTTTTGTGCCGGGGGTGTCTCCTGTGATTTTGGCAAAGAGGGAGCCGGCTGGGAGGTCGACGAGGGAAATAGCACCGCTTCCGAAAGCCTTGGGGCTGCGATTGACGTGGAGTCTGTCGGGGTGTGTTGGTGGTGGAGAGTTTAAGGTTGAAGTTGTGGTGGAAGGAGGCGGGGAGACTGCGGCGGGAGACATGGTGGTGGTGAGGATGGTGGTGATAGAGGGTAGAAGCCAAAGCTGGAAGAAATGGTAGAGCAATTGGGTGTAGTGAAAGAGTAAATCCGGGGTCGCCCGTATTTAAAGGATTGTTTTTGCAGGATGCCCTCTATTCTCATCCCATTCAACCGAGGATTCGCTTGCATTCGGACGGGACCGAGGCAGTCCAACATTCCCAAATGACGCGCCCCCCTTCTGCCCCGCGGAGAGATTCCCTAAAAATGACATCTCTGCGACGACTCCCTTTCATCCAGACCACTCACCGGTCGTCCCAGGGTGGAGGTGGGTGGGTTAGGTGGATTAGGCTCACGCGATTGTTTCTAGCGGCCGATCTGGAGTGTTTCTGTCTGCTGACTCTGACTCTGACTCTCTCACATGTGAATTGCAGTTCACCCCCATCTCGTTCAATTTCACCTACTGCTCCGCCCTTCCTCGGACAACGTGAAAGCAGGAGATTCCATCGTTCGCCAATTGTCCCACCAGTCCATACTCCCAGTCGAGATACCCTTGCATGGCTTCGCGCGCATTGTCGGTCCCTTCGTACGGCCGTTGATACACATCAATTGGTTGCGAAAGCCACCTCGTCTCATTTTCCAGAGCATGCCCCGCTGCAATCCAGGCATTAGTGCCACCGGATAGATATACAACTTCGCGCGAAATACCCTGTCGCGCATATTCCACATTGATCGCAGCGACCATCCCATCCGGCGAGGTCAACACAATCGGTCCCGTACCATTCACGGCATGCAAATCGCGAGTCAATTCCGGCCCGGATGCAAAGAATGCCCCGGGAATGTGGCCCTGGCGATAGACCGGACTGCGTGCGAGATCCACCACGTTGGCGTTTGCGAGGGCTCGCAGTTCGTCGACTGTGATGGAGTTCGCGACCGTATCCACCGGTGGGCTCCATTGGGGAGGATCTGGCCTGGAGAGACTGTCCGACACTGTACGAGTAACGCTGGATGTCTCGTCCAGGACATAGACCTCCCATCCCAACTGTAGCAGCCAACTGGCCGTCATGCGGGCTCTCACTCCATCCGTATCGTATAACACAATGCGAGCACCGCGAACGCCTACCCATTCATCCGTCGCCTGGACCAATTGACCTCCCGGGGCATTTTGGAATCCCTTCGGATGACCCTCAACATATTCATTCGGGTCCCTCACGTCGAGGAGGTAGAGTGTTCGCTCTTCCTCCGCTGCCAACCGACCAAGCTTCTCCCCGTCGATAACCGACACTCCGACATGGTGTGCCCAGGATTCAGCATGCTGTCTAGCTTTAAGAGATGCCTCTGGCGAAGGCAGAGGAATGCGCTCAGCTTTTCGATGCTCCAATTCCAGACCATCCAGCGTCCATCCAATGGTTCCATTTCGCAATGCCATGACTTTATTAGGAATCCCACCATTGATCAACGACTGCGTCCCAACGATACTCCGCGTACGACCCGCGCAGTTCACAATGACCGTAGTATCCGGTGACGGTGCTGCTTCAAAAATGCGATACAGCAATTCCCCACCCGGACAGCTGCGACCGCGCGGAATACTCATGGTTGAGTACTCTGAAAAGCGCCGTGCATCCAACACAACCGCATCTTTCTCCCGATCCAAAAACTCCTTTACCTCTTTGGCTGAGAGTGACGGAGTGTGTCGGATCGATTCGACCAATTCCCCAAATGCCTTGGACGGCACATTTACATCGCGATAGACCTCGCCTGCATGCGTATAGCCCACTAGACCCCCTTCCAGAATAGCGACATCGTTGTATCCCAGTGCGACAATGCGAGATACAGCCCGCTCGACGTAGCCTTCGCCATTATCGTAGACGACCACCGGAGTCGCGCGTCGCGGTACGAGTGGTGGTAATTTCTCCTCTATCGGAGACTGGCACACTCAGCGCGAAGAGTGGGTGGGCTTTGGAAAAGGGTCCCTCTTCGCGAACGTCCAGCAGGGCGATTTCTAGGCGATTGAGCCAGTGGCGGCGTAGTTCATGGGGCGTTATCAACTTTGTCATTTCGGCAAGCTGGCTGAACTGGCGACGTTCAAGTTATCTCTTATTTATATATACCGTTCCCAGGGGTTAACCTTAAGCCCTGGAGATAGGGTAGAACGTGAAGTCGGAGCAGACGGCTATACCACCGTGAACTGGGACAGTGATCTTGCTGGACCCTTTGGTCTAGGCTGGGCTGGGCTATGAGGTGCTTTCTAGAGCTGTTTCAAGAATAACCTTATTGCATCGACATAGCAGATCAAACAAGCTTGGAAGAGAAGCTAGGAAGCTAACATGTCAAGCTGCCAACGATCCACTCGGATGTTTTTCGTTCGGTCGGAGGGTTTTTCCTTGCGACCCCGGAAATCCTCCGCATCAACACGATGGAAAGCCCCACGCTGCAATGGCGCTATCAGCGCTATTAATTGCTAACGGGGGACACTTGGAGGTCGACATTTTCACTGTTGAAAAATTCTCAGGTCTCAATTTTGGACTGGAAACGAATTGTGGTGAAAGAGAGAAATAAATTGATTGCTGGAGATACTCATAATGCGTTCAATGACTTCTTCTCAGCACATTTCTTTCCTAGACAACTTGAACTTGAAAGCCAGGAATAGTGTTGAATCTCCAGCCTATCCCGTGTACATAGCTCTAGTCGGAGTAGTTCCAGAGGAAATATGGCTGCAGTATGTCGTGATTGACAAGGACAAGCCTCTCCTCTTCCTTTGACATGGCGTTGCCACTCTCCAACTACTGTATACCACGACAATCGTCTCCTCTCCTCTTCTATTTTCTCTAACATTCAAGTTTCTACCTACCTAGGTATCATACCTAATGTGAATTACAATAATTTTCTACATTTGTATATTGTGTATACTTCTACCCTCATTATCCCCATCTCCATCTCCATTTCCATCTCCGACGGCCCTCGGACTGCAGCCAACCCCGCTCGACTCCAACTGGCCTGGTCACCTTTCGAAGGTCACCTTTTGAACTGCTTCAGAACTTCAGCTTGAGACCACATGTTGGCTTACCCAGAACCAGCCCCTAGAATGAGTATGAATACGAACTTGGGCATGAGCATGAGCACTCTCCGACAAAAGCGACAGTCCTGCGAAGCCTGTCGTAAGTCAACCCGGAAAATTCCCAATGATCTGCAATGCTGACCTCCAACTCAGGAGCGAGAAAGCTACGATGCTCCGGCGAGAGAAATGGCTGCTCACGATGTCGCAATCTCTCTCTACAATGTAAATTCCAAGACAAAGGAGCTCCCGGCCGTCCAAGAAAGCGACCCCGACACGAGCAATCAGATCGCGAATGCGAACGCGAATTAGCCACGAGAGAACCCCAACCACGACCAATCTCACCGAGCTGTTTCCAGCTCTCACCACCCATCGTACACGACCCGATGGAATCAGCCCAAGTCGAAAGCATGCTAATGGGCAATGGCGACTTCGGTCCACTCCCACTAGAAATGTCCAACAGCTGCGGCCTGGGCTCATCCTGCTCTCTCGATTTCTCCGGCTCGCTAGATTTCAGCACATTTCCCATCGGCCCATTATCCAATTCCCACCTCGACCACCATCACGAAGGTCTATCAGATATGTCCCTAGCAACGACAACAACAGCTTGCATCTCACCGCCCCTATCACCGCAATCTTGCCAATGCGACGAGGAAGTCTCAGATTCAGTCCGGGCTCTAAGTCGCGCAACAATGTCACACAACATCATCCGCAATCTGCGCGACGGAATCGGACTCACGGAGAGACTACTCACATGTCCAATCTGCTACGACGTCTCCAAACCGCCTCGAATAACAGTTCAAAACGTACTGTTAATCGGCAGACTCATGTTCGAGGTAACATCGACGTATGGGAAATATCTAAAATGGCTCCGAACATACTGCACCGACCTGGACGACAAAAGTAAAAGCGAGACAATATATCTAATCCCGGGACTGGAAATCGGTTCCGAACTTGGGTTCAAGATTGACGGGGCGCGATTTCATGAATTTATTACACATGGGTTGCAGGCTGATGCCGATCGGCTTATCTCTGTGGGCAAGCAGTTTGCGCAGAGACAGAAGAATCGTCATTCGGTTGGCCATGAGACTTGTCCTGATGTTGAGGGTCGGTGTCGGAGGGAGGAGTATGGGCTTGATCATGATCCGCTTGATCTTTGTCCGCAAAATGCTGCTTCGAGGAGGTTGACTCCTTGTTTTAGAATTGTGGATGAGGTGCAGTCTATGATTGAGCAGGTTGTTGAGTCGGTTTCTTGATATATAGGTATTTTGGATAGGCGGAATGATGAAATGGGGAGGTCTGAGCCATGAGCGTTGTTCTGTATTTGTTAAGGCGCTGTGTCAGATAGTACTATAATGGAGTTGTGAATTTTATTGAACAAGATGAAACATTTACTCATAGCATAGGTAGCAATGTACTCGGGGCTTGAATTTAAAGTAACATTCACGGTTAATAAAAGTATATATCTATCATAAACAAGTATTGTTATTGAAAGCTCGGAGTAGAAGAACAGCAATTCCCATTCGTGATGCCATTCGCGATGCCATTCGCAACTCCTTTCACAACCCCATTTCTTCCCCCCTTCTCACCACTGTCTGCTACCACCCCAAGCCTACAAAAGCAAGAAGACGTAATGGACACATCCGCTTCGGCAAGTGCCAGTTTCAACTGCTGCTTGATGATGTTCGCCTCGGAAAGGCGTCCCAGTCGCTCTAGGCACTCGTGATAACCATGCAGAGCCCAGACGTTATTCGGATGCTGATGCGCGCGTTTCGGCGTTGGGTACAGACCCAAGTCCTCAGCATAAGCCTGGGCGGCCTGTTCAACATATCCTTGCTCCAGGGATAAAGCTGCGTAGGCATGTCGTGCCGGGAGCATCCATCCCCATGGCTCAGCAAAAGGCAACTCATCTTCAAAAACAATTGCCTCGCGCAATCTCGCAAAGGCCATCCCAAAATTCGCCCGTCGATATTCTATCTCACCGTCTAGCATTGCCGACGCCACCTTGAGGATGTCGGTTATTTTATTGGGAAAATCCAGTCGCGAGGGCGGAACCAATTCTGACGCTTCTTCAAAGCGTACTCGCTCTCGATCAGCCTCGATTATTTGACCCGTGGCGGCGTAGGCAATGGCTTTGCCGTAATGTCTCATGACATTGGTTACACAGTACAACTCTCGATCCTCGGGAGGCTCAAGAGCCTTGAGCTCGTCCCACCTTCCAAAGCGAATCAAAACATGGACGCGTACTGCTTTGAAGAACTCCATCCAATTTGCTAGCATGGGAGTCTCCACGCGAAGAATTTCTTCGGTGATGGTTGCTTCCATGCGATCCGTAGCATCGAATGCAGCCTTGGACTTTCCAGCTAACATCGCCGCGTAGATGAGCGAGTGGTAGTCATGTAGACGGTAGTAGCTGTAAAAAGTCAGGCCACCACTCTGCGCGAAATATTTGTCGTCGGCGATTGTTGCCTTCAGATTGTATTCCACAGCACGTCTGTAGTCGCCTACAAGAACATCGATGTGCGCGGGCATATGGTAGGTATGGCCCGTGTCTGCGATCAAGTCGCGAATCATGTCCGCGGCAGGTAAAGCAGCCTCGGGTGTGGCAGACATTTCCATGAGATGGATATACATGTGCGCGGGCCCGGGATGTTTTTCCACACCAGGCAGTTTCAGTGCTTTCTCAAGCAAGGATTTGACTTCGAAGACTGGCGATGATGCGATAGGCAATCCCGTCGCAGCGTCGTATAATTTGCGCGGAGCGCAATTCATCAATGCGTCAGCGAAGAGTGTGATAAAGTCAAAGTCGCCGTGGCCAAAGATTTGATATGCATCGCGCATGGCATCTGCGTAGGCCTTACTGCAAGCCAGAAAGTCCTTATTAGGGTCGTCATTTGGATAGCGTATAGCCAGTGCCTTGATGAGGGCTTTTTCCCACGGCAAGGTATTTTCTGCCCGTTGAAGGGCTGCTTGGGAATAGACGAAGCAATTTTTGATAGCATTTATGCGATCGGCGCTATCGAAAAGTGCCCAGGTTTTATTATAATTGGAGCCCGAGCAGAACGACACTCCCCAATAAGCCATTGCGCAGGCGTCATCGTGAGCGATGGCTTGTTTGTAACATGTGATTGCTTCATCGTGGTTGAAGCAATATGTCCAAATGAGGCCACGATTGAACCATGTCTGCGCTTCTTCGGACACAGTGCTAACCTTGCGACTCAACGACCCGAGATCATAATACGGGTCTTTGGAAGTGCGCAAGGGATACGAATACTCGGGTCCGGTTGAGCCCATGCTTGAAATGGTCGCCCTAATCGGCGAAACGGCTTGATGTCGATGTAGATAGCTTGATATTGACGAGATCAGCTAATATCTTAGTAAAATGAGCTCATCTGTTCCAAGCGGCTCGACGAGTTGTGTCGTCGGAGGGTTTTATTGCGGTGCGGATGGTTGGTTTAAAATGGGCCGAGGTGATTGGCATTGGTTGCGGGGGTCAATTTCGCGCTTGGACGCGGTTGGAGTTTGGGTTTGTCTTTAGCTAGTACAGGATAATATTGAGTACATACTTGCTTCTACTAACGTATCATTCCTTCAATGTAGAAATCAAACAGAAAAAAGGCTGTGTTCAAGAATTCTCTCTAATCTATCACCATCGCCGTTCGCCTCTATCTTTGTCCATCTCAATCGAAATACTTTGAATTAGAAACATATAGTGGCATCGAGTCCTCCCACATACTGTTGGTAAGAACAGTCTTATTCGAACCATCCGCATCCATGATCATGATTTGTCCATATGGTTGAAAGGTATCGTCGTATGTTGCCGCCTCGGCCTGGAACCCCCACATTCCACTCGACCACATAATTCGGCTATCGGCAGTCCAGACAGCATGGGCATCGTTGGCGGCAGACGAAGTAAGCTCAGTGTAATCGGTGCCGTTGGGTCGAATGATGCAAATCTCGTAGTTTGAGAATTGACCCCTTGCCGGGTTGGTTATATTGCGCGTGAAAAGCACCCATTCTCCATCTGGTGAAAACGAAGGGAGATTGTCACGTTCTGTTGTGAGTCTGGTGGTAATATTCGTTTCCAGATTTAGAAGGCGAAGACCAAATTCCGGTTCATAAACCCGGTACACGATCTGTTTACCGTCAGGCGAATAGCTGGGATAGCCTGCATTGGAACCGGAATTGGATGAGCTGAATGTGAGTTGTTCATAGTAGGAGCCATCGGAGCGAGTTCGGTAGATCCAGCCCGGGTTAGAAGCGCGGCTTTCGAACCAATTACCCAGACCGAAGGTTATCCACTCTCCATCAGAAGACCAGGAGGGTTGGAAACAGCCAGCTGCACCACCTGCAACGGTAGCTTGGGAGATTGGATGTGGTGTGATCTGAAAAGTACCAAAGGGAACAGTGAATTTATGATTATCTGGCTGCATCACGGCAACAGATGAGTTGCCCGGGCTTCCCGTCTGCTTGGAAGTGGACACAAGCATCCCTTTTCTTGATAGGTCAGGGAATACATCCATAAACCGATAGTCCCACTCATTGTCCCATGAATAAAGCTTCTTTTGTAAGGAGCGAGATGTCCATCCGGTCTTTTCATAAACCACATACTTGCCATCTGGAGACCATGAAGGAGAGCGAAATTTCCCGGAGATATGACTGGATGATCCAGTATAGTGAAGCCCCGCATTGGGCCCTGTTCTGAGCAAATATCCGATATTGTCGTGGGAAAGGTATTGCGGGAAGACTTTGGACCCATTCGAATTGGTCTCCGAACGACGGTCTGTACCAGTTGCAAAGTCCACAGAAATTATTTGATTATTCACACCGTCTTCACGAAACGAGGAACGGGAGTCGTATGTTTGTTGCAGAGTCATCCCGTAAAAAACGACCCTCTTACCATCCGGTGAGAATTTAGGCGAGCCAAAGGTCATTCCCGGCTCACTGTAGACTAAGCGGAAATTGGTCCCCTGAGGCGTGATACTATATATCGACAAATTTTGAGTATGCTCCCAGCCGGTGCCATTGTCGTGCCCTGTCCATGCAGTATTGCGATCCGAGGAAAAGACAATATGGTTTCCATCTGGGGACCAGGTTGGTGCAAAGAACCCGCTCGGCGAGTAAGGATTGCCCGTAATACCTGTCTGATTCGTGAGATTGCGCGTGAGACCCGTCTCAAGATCGGTTAACCAGATATTGGATACGTAGACATCTCGCGTAGACGCGTAAACGGCATATCTTCCGTTTGGCGAGATAGAAACTGCATCCTCCACTGCGGGAGTGGTCGCAATCGGCCTTAAGCCACTGCCATTGACATGCACCATGTAAAGATCCGAATTACCATCCCCATTTCGCTCGCTAGTGAAGGCAACATATTGACCATCTGGAGAGAAGCTGGCATGGTATTCAAAGACAGAAGAGTTGCCCAACAATAACCGCTCATTACTACCATCTGAATTGGCAATGTAGAGTTGCATGGAAGATGGATTGATGCGATTCATCAGCATGACACCCTTTTTGTTAGATGCGTGGGATTTGCCATTGTTTCTGTTTGTGGCTTCAACAATTTCGGCTCGTCTCGCATATGAACATCCCATGCACCTATTGTCCTTAGCGTACGGGCATGCACTTAGACACAATGCGGGGCCAAACAAGACAAGGAGCAGGAGACGCATAGAGCATGTGATTTTTGGCGATTAAGTAGACTCCGATTAACGAGTAAAGTTGACCTTTTGTCTAGCGAATATTATGTATTATATAGTACTCCGATACTGACGAGCCGCGCACGTCTACAAACACTGTACTGATTGCTAGCCAACGAGAGATCGAGGATAAATAGGCAGCTTCGAAAAAAGAACGCGTCAACAACTGTAGCAAACGCGTACGTGGTAAAGTGGCAATTTCGCTCTTTTAGACATTGTTGAGTAGTCCGAGATAGATCTGCTGATGCTTCGCGGGTGTACCAGGCATCCAAGCTGACGCACGACTCGATTCTAAAATCGGCGTCGGATGATCGATTGAAAGACTAGCCGGCTTTTATCAAATGTGCTGCAGACTGGGTGAGCAAGCCTGGACCATGAATAGAATACGAGTTAGGACCCATGTTCTCAAGGGTTTGCGGTCGCCTGCGTAAAGATTATGTTCCACCAATGAATGGATCTAAGGCGATTAGACGACCAGCCATGGTTTTGAATTTACTCTAATATCATTGTAGTACCTATTATCGCTTTGAATTAACGAGGTAGCAGTTTGACTGAAAGCTTTCCACATCGCGGAGAGAGAGGAGGTGCAATATTCTTCAGTCAATCTGAATGCAGACCCTCCATAGTTTCTGTACTTCGTCTAGGGTTTATATGATGGATAGGAATCGCGATTTCAAGGACATATTAGCGCTATGAATTTGATAGAGCATTTTCTCCTGTCTTTAAAACAAAATTGTTTATCATGGCCACAGTCCTCTTCTTCTTCGAAATCATCGGGTCTCTATGGCTTTGTGTTACAGAGGGTGTGTTCAGTGTGAAGACTGATCTAGGGCGAAGACCAATATAGGTCATGAAACCACCTTTAAAATTATATTTTAACTGAAAAGCTACGGTCCGTGGTACGTAGTGAGATACTAATCAAGTCATCGATAATGTATATTTCTTGCTAGCTTCCAGCCTACTAGTAGTTAGTTCACAATATACATCATAAAAAATGGCAAAAATGACAATGGATAGCGGCTTGAAACCTCACAGCCCGCGCATCTCAGTTTCCTTTGATGCACGGAAGATCTTTGATCTTAAACCTGTTTTGGTGTGCGGTATGTTAGACTGGAGGTCAATCAACCTCTAAAATTTGCCGTGCTCGACAGACAAACGACGCCAAATCTATGAGGTGGGTCCTACCATAGATGCAGCTGCATAAGGTGTAGGGTGTGTACTTTGTAGGGTGCGTAAAGTGGGTCTTTCTACAAGATGAACTGAATTTTTGTGAGGGCAGGGCGTGGATTGTGGGTCTATTCATGAACATGATTCTGTAGGGTGTGTACCGTAAACCGTGAGTCAGAATGTAAATTTTAATTTCTCACTGCCGTCACGAATATGGCTATTAGTACCATATAAATCCGAGACGCCGAAGGTCTGACTTGCCAGAATTTCGAACTTTCCCAGGGCTGCTGATCTTCTTCCAAACTTGAAGTTCACAATGAATTTGGGCACCCCAATTCAGTGCTCAGCCCTATCAGAGTTGGGCTCCTTCTTGCGTCCTCTCTCAGTCACCGACGTTGATTCTTGCGTGATTGTAGAATCTGCATTTTCAGAGAGTGAGAGATGTTCCGAAGAAAAGGTAGCGACGTTTGATTCCCCGTCCCCGTCCTTATAAATACTGATCAGTCATAGTTTCGTTACCGTCTCAGCCAGACACCGGAGCTGTCTATAGGACTTTTTATCAACGACGGGGGAAATGACCGACTCATCGGACACGTCATTGGAAACAGAATATCTGGTGGACGAGTGACTGAAGGATCTATCTTGATGCCCGAAAATTGGCGGACTCTCGCCCACAATAAAGCGTTCATCGAAGACGGGCAAGTGATCGGAAACGATCCTAATGGCACAGCCATCGCTGTCCACTCCGTTGCCATCTCCCCAGAATATCAGGGCAAGGGGGTTGGGAAGGCCATGGTTGCGGCATACATCCAATACATCAAGGATGCAAAGATATCAGCAGAGTGCATAATGTTGATTGCTCACGACTACTTGGTACGATTTTACGAGAGCACAGGCTTTGAGAATTGTGGGAACAGTCACTGCCAGTTTGCTGGTGGTGGGTGGTTTGACCTGGCAAGTTTCCTAATCGTACCTGGATTTTGCATCTACTGACATACGGTGTAGGTTTATAATCTTTGAGGTAGCTAAAGGGAAGTCAATTTTGTACCAAAGACAAGCCAAGGTGAACAATGTCGTATCTGATCAAATAGTCTCTTGGAAAATCTGATGGAGCCGAGTCAGATTCTATGGGTCGACATTGTAGAGAAGTAAAGTGGTCATTGCATACTGTGCCTGTGTTTATCCCAAACAGAGAATTTGTAGCTAGTATTGTGGCTTACTACAAACAGGGCAATAAATAATCCCACTCGAAAATTCTCTATATATATTAAACCTTGTTAAGTATTGTCGATAATTTCCGGTTGAGTTCAACTTTTGAATAAGTGTTCGTAGTAGACATGATATTGGAATTCAGATATGAACGAGAGAAATACAGAAAATTCCAGAAAATTGTTACGGGCGGCGAGATGGACCAGTGGTCTAAGACTCGGACTATTCATCTATAGAATCTTGTTGTTGATGTGTAGCCATTTGTTGTAGATGATGCAATAGACATGCTTGATGATAATAGCCGGATCGACGACTCAGAGAACTCCGTTGGGCGGAAGACCCACAGGCCTTATTTAGAGCGATACTTTGATAGAATTGTTGTTTACATTGTGAGACACTATTTGATTTCTTGAACTCGAGGGTGATTTTTATTGGGGTTTCAAGCCATGTAGGGTCCTAGAGATATCCCTGACTAACCCGAAACCAAAAGACTTTTCCAACGAGACCGTGACGGATTGTCTAAGGGTTGGGTTTGCATTGCTGCAAAGCCCTAAGCCCCTAAGCTTCGGAAAGAGGCCGATTACCTCCAAATCTTGGCCGATGTCGTGATTTTATATCCACATAATACCATAGCTCTAAGATGCAGCCATGGTGCCTTGCACATTTCAGGATAGCTTGTATAAATTTCAAGAAGATATCTGTTTCGAGCGGATAGTAGTAGCACTAAAAACTACAATATTGATCATTAGCCTTCCATTTTACAATAGCGACTTGGTCAAGAGCTATGGGCGTGGGGAAGAGCGCCGAAAATGTCATTCAGGACCATGAAATATTGACACCCAAAGATGATCCTGGCAATGGAGCTGTCGAAGCAAAGCCCAGCGACGAGGAAATCGCCCTGGAGAAGGAATTGTTACGAAAGATTGATCTGCTTATTATGCCCCTCATTGTGGTCATCTACCTGATGAATTTCATTGATCGGTGAGTATTTGCTGGGAGTTTCGTCGATGGCCTCTTTTTCTGACGGATGCGTAGAAACAACTATGCTGCAGCCAGATTACAAGGTCTGGAAGATGATCTGAATCTGACATCTGAGCGATACCAGGCTGGTCAGTTTGCTCCGCATATCATGACAGTAGGCAGTCACTGACAGTTTCCCAGGGCTGGGAATATTCTTCGTTGGATACATTCTCGGTAGCGTGCCGTCGAATCAAATATTGAATTATACAGGTCGCCCGTCACTCTACCTTGGTCTTACCACGATCGCCTGGGGCCTTGTTTCTGCTCTAACAGCATTGGTACAGAGCTATGGTGGAATTCTTGGTTGTCGGTTAGCACTTGGTTTCGTGGAGGCCCCATTTTTCCCAGGCGTGCTTTTCTACTTATCCAAGTGGTACACGAAAGGAGAACTCAGCATGCGAATGTCCCTTTTTTACATTGGATCTTTGATTGCCGGAGCACTGGGTAGTCTGATTGCGGCTGGCATTCTTCATGGACTGGCCGGTAAGCATGGACTCCCCGGATGGCGATGGTTATACATCATAGAGGGAGTCATCACAATCGTTCTTGGTTTCCTCGTGATACTTCTGTTACCAGAGTTTCCACACACTTGGAAGGGCCTTTCGCCTGAGTTGAGACGAGTCGCCAACCGCCGGATGGCAATTGAAGCTGCTGAAGCTGATATAGACGAAGGGGAAGGGATGTCGCAGGTGAAAGGATTCATTCTGGCAATGAAAGATATACGAGTGCACGTCCTGGCATTTGCCTTTATGTGCAAATCGGCCGCAGGAGGCTTTTCCTTCTTTTTTTCCTACTCTGACTCAAACGCTCGGCTATAGCAATACCGTGTCTTTGCTGCTCTGCGCTCCACCATATGCCTTCGTGGCTCTTTGGAGTATCGGGCATTCATGGGCATCTGACCGACTGCGCAAACGCTTCTGGTTCTTGATATACCCGATGCCGGTCGTAATTATCGGCTGGATAATCTTCATGACCACTGACTCCTTTGGGCCGAGATATCTCTCGCTGTTCCTGATGTTGATGATCTTTTCTATCAATGGAACGTTCTTCGCATGGATTGCTACCAGTATTCCCCGGCCACCGGCGAAGCGCGCAGCAGCATATGCCTATATCAACGCTGTTGGAGGCAGTGCTTCTATCTGGACGCCCTTCACCTACCGCGACGAGGACAAGCCCCATTATCGTCCCGCGCTGGGACTGAACATTGCTCTGTGGGCAGTCACAGCTGCCTGTTTCGTGTTCATGTACTTCAGCCTGACGCGAGAGAACAAGCGTTTGGACCGACTGGAAGACGAAGACGTGCCTCTGAGCCACGAGGATTTCGAGCGATTGCAAAGAACCGCCGAGGTAGAGGGGGTCAATATTGCGACCGCGCGAAGATTGCAGAAAAACTATCGATTTGTGATTTAAATAGGTTGTGTAGACAAAAGATATTCATAGTTGCTTCATCCAGTTCATCAATTCGTGGCAATTCTATGCATGGTATAGATCAATTCATCTTCTTCAAAAGTTCCTTGCCATCTAACCAACGCTCAAGATTCTCTGCTACCTCACGGTACCAGCCGTTGATCAGCTCTTCCTCGCCGTATCCCATGTGCGGACTCAGTAGTACCTCACTGCGTCCATCGCGACCCCACTGAGTCGTTCTCCATGGACTGTCAAGAGGGAGTGGCTCCGGGTCAAAGACATCCAGCGCAGCTCCCCAAATTGAGCCGGCATTCAGGGCTTGTAGGAGTGCTGCCTCGTCGATCAAAGGGACCGCGAGATGTATTGACGATCATCGCGGAAGGTCGCATGGTAGCTAGCTCTGGACCACTGACAATTCCCCGGCTACGCTCCGAGAGGACATTGTGCAGACTCACTACATCGGCGCGAGCGAAGAAGTCCGTCTTGGAAGTGGCCACCTCAAAGCTGCCGGCGGGAAGACCCTGGGCCTCGGCTTGCTCATCGGCCTTTTCTTGAGTCAAATTGGTCGACCAGGCGAGGACTTTCATGCCGAATGCCTGAATGGCAATCTTGCCGACCTGTGAGCCCAGCTTGCCCAGTCCGAGTAGAGCAAGATTTTTGCCAGAAAGATTCACGCCCAAGGAGCCTTGCCAGGAGCCCGCCTTGACAGAGGCATCGTCCCGCGCGACATGACGGGCTAGGCCAAGGATCAAGGCCCAGGTATGTTGGACAGTTGAGTTGACACCGGGAGGTCGTCCTTCAGTTCCAGCGACTGGAATACCACGGTCGGCACAGGCTTGGAGATCGAGGGAAAGGTTGCGCGTGCCGGTTGTGAGGAGGAGTTTGAGGTTGGGGAGGGCAGCGATGGTCTTGGCAGAAATCGGGGTGCGTTCGCGCATGGCCAGGACGGCGTCAAATGATGATAGACGTTTGATCAGCTCAGCATGCTGGACAGGGTCGCGCGGGTCGAGTGTCTTGGGGAAACTGACGATCTCGATGCGCGATTGGAGGTGGGCGAAGTGGGCGGGTGCGATGCCCTGGTAGTCGTCGAGGATAGCGAACTTGGGCATTGTGGGGTGGGCGATGGGGAGAAAAACAATTCAATCCAGCAATTCGGAGCTAATCTATGGCAACTGATTTGGTGGAAGAGAGGAAAAAGTAGAAGTGAAGTAGAAGTAGAAGTAGAAGTAAAGTCGAGTGATGATGGAAAGTCGCGGTTGCTCTCCCCGCGCCTCGGCTGAATGCTTATCCGCTGTACCATTTCGTGCATTGCATTGCATTATTGTCTTATAACTACTACTAAACCACAATATTATACTTCATATCACATTCACATCTATTCATTCCACGGGATTCAGTCATCAATATGCAACTTCCAACTTCATTACTTCATTACTTCATTACTTCTTCACGGGCTGCGGATCTCGCATCATCAATGTGAACCGATCCACCGTTTTCCCTCCATACAGTCTCCGATCAAGAGTCATTTCTTCCAAGGGCTTCCAGCCATACTTGATATATACTGGATATCCGTCACCAGTGGCCTCCAGATATACTCTTACACCGAACTTGTCTGCCTGATCACAGCCCCAGCGCAGCAGCTTTGATGAAAGGCCTCGTCCTTGATATTCAGGGAGAATAGCAAGCAGATCCAGAACTAATGAGAAAGTCAATCAAACGGCCAAGAGAAAACAGACCACCCTAAAAAAAAAGGCCAACAGTTGACTTACCCATATCCTGCTCGGTGGTGAATTGTTTGCGAGAAGTTTCCAATAGCCCTCGAAAGGCTTTATACATCGCCTCATTCATCGGCCGAGGGGCATGGGCTGTGAAATTGCGCGCAGCTTCTTGTGCCTTCTCACTGAGAACAGGAAGTGTCTCCCCGACGAGGGCCTTGGGGATATGCCATCGACTGTAACCGATAATCTCTCCACTCGCCGGGTCCACCAGCTTCAGGACATGCATCTCTGGATTCGCCAGATGTTTCATTGAATAGACTGCCTTGTACTCGCCTAATCTTTCATCGCTGGCCTCTGGAAAGACTTCCTGGAGCAGCCCTTGATGCCGGAAGCTGACTATGTTGACATTGGCCAAGCTAGGCCCGTCGGCCTCGGTGGCGTATTCAATTCGAGGATCCATTGTCGACTCGCGACTCAATCAGCAATTATCAGTCGGGTATTTGGGTTGGACACTGATGGTAGTCAACGAGTATTTGTACTGCCAAAGATGAAGATGCAATTGTGGTTAAAATCTGAGTTGCCTTGAGTCGACTTGACTCACTCGGAGTTCGGACCTCGAACGGTCAAAGATCCCCGACCCCCCACTGTTCTCGGAGACCCTCCGCCTTTCGGGGTCCCTAGAAGGAAAAGCGCACCGTTATCACCAAATTCCTATTTAGCTCTAATTCTACACCTCGCCGGCGCAATCTGGAGCAGAAATCGGCACCCCGCAATTATCTTCGGTCCTGTTTTTATATCTTGGATGCAGTGTCCGAGTCCTCTCCATCATGGGAATTATCGGACTTGATGTGTTGCAACTTGAATACTACAATCTTGGCATTTCTAATGCGATGGCAACATATCGGGGTGCGATTGTTCGTCCGTTCAAACTGACCCAAAATGCGTTCAAGTTCCTTCGCCGACAAATTGAATAAGGCAATACCATTACTAGTAAGCTGACAGTGCGCAGATGGCCCATTCTCACCTCCCACTAGCGGACATAGTACCGTCCTTCTTAGCATCGGTATTTATAATCAGCGACTTGAAATGCCCAAGGTTCCGCCACTTCCGAGGCACTGATGAGCTTCCAACCCAATAGGTTGAAGAGCAGCATGCCCAGGTGTATAATAATACACTCAATGGCTCAGACTGGGGAAGCCTAAGAGTCTACATGCAAACGGTCACGGTTAATTATTGTGCACAAATCTCCGTTGCCACGTGAGAAAGCGGGACAATCGATCGCTTATTGACAAAGAGTAAGGGTAGACTCGGACAGATATGTACCCCAGTGCTACTAGCATCACGGTTAGCTATACTGGGAAAACGGGGTTATCTTGACCAGCCCTGGCGAGAAATTGGCATAAATTTTTCGTGAATTGACGCTGAAAGACATCATTCTGGACCTGGAGTGGAGGGAAAATGTCCCGAAACAGCTGAAGCCACGCACATGTGATTGACAGCGAACAGCGATAGAAAGTGGGCATTGAATTTAGTGCTTTCTCGCCATCAGTCGATCAGCGGCCAATTGATCGACTCGGTGTTCTACTTAGTCGGTTAAAGTTTCGGCCGTTACATCGCATGCATCGGGATCGCATGCCGAGGGTTCAGCCACTGTCACCGATTACAATTGCTTCATATTCAACCCTCCCCCGCAGACCGAGTGCTTTATGTGCGGGTTAGGCTTGAATCTTGATTTTAATACCCAGCAAAGCAGGAAAATCAATCGTCAAAAACCACCAGTTGCATCTTTCAGTCATACATGCACTTACTCCTGCCCACTCTATTCTCCAGGCTGCAATACGAATCTTGTGGATTCCATCTCCACAACACGCCCTACTACCCCGCACCAGCGCAGTTTCGATTGTATAATGAATTCCTCGAGTTGGAAAAACATCGTACCACCTAGAGGAATTTTCGAATTGCACAGAGTAAAAGTCGCCGTGGCCACGAGGAGGATCTCAGCCCCAGCAGCCTCCGGAGATGTGAGCTTTGGTTTATCCAGCACCACATTTAGCACCACCTCCAGCTTCTCACTGTCTCAATTCACTTACTCCGTATATCGGATTTCATGCAGATCCGATCTCACCGGCCCGGGAGTCTGCTTACTCCACGGAAAGGTTTTGTCATAAAGCCTCTAGTCGACGCTTATTTTTATCATCGGAGACATCCGTTCGGGTTGAACCTCTGTCGCTGGGCATCGCGGGAACGCTAAATTCAAACAACCTTTCTTATGTAGGTCTTTAGCTGTGCCGACCCACCAGGAATCGCCCGAATATGCTCTTTTGGTCATTCGGTGGATCCGCCAGCAGCTGTACCGGCCCGGCGAGAGCGGAGGGACCTGGGGCCCCGGAATTCGCACCCCGCGAAGAGCTGGATACTTTATGGGGTATTGCTCCCCCGGATTGTTTTATATTTGCAATTCACGAGGTCCACATTTGAATCTCATCCTACGATTTTCCTATCTCTTCTTGTTCTCGTTGTGCTTGATTTTGCCCCGATATGGTTTCCGATGACGAAGTTACTCCTGCGCACCATAATGTCGGAATAGACAAAAAGCAAAATGATGACTCAATATCGAAAGACCCTATCAGTGGCATTGAGAATGAATATGACTTCGATACCGAAGAGAAACAGGTAATTGGCGAGCAGCGCCAATTGCCTGATCTGCAGCGCAGGCTTCGAAGTCGCCATTTGCAGATGATTGCCATTGGTAAAAGCTACGCCCTCCAATTACCGGGATGATGTGCTAACGATAATATAGGTGGTACAATCGGAACGGGTCTATTTATCGGAAGTGGAACAGCTATTTCATATGCCGGACCTGTCGGTGCACTCATCGCTTATATCTTCGTCGGCTCCATTGTTTTTTCCGTCATGACAGCGCTCGGAGAAGTTGCAACCTTCTTACCTATTCCTGGAGCATTTGCCTCCTATGCCACTCGATTGGTGGATCCAAGTCTGGGATTCGCAATGGGCTGGATATATTGGTTTTCCTGGGCATCGACTTTTGCGCTCGAATTGGTATTTCCTACCCCCTCCCCGCTAGTCAACTACTATGACTCGGTTTCGGCGTTAGATCCTTATCGCTAACGAGCCTTTGCAGACAGCGACAGGTTTAATTATAAATTACTGGAATGATACCATTCCGATCGCCATTTTCATCGCCGTTTTCCTAGTGGTTATTATCTTATTGAACCTTCTCCCAGTCAGCTTCTTTGGTGAAACCGAATTTTGGCTCTCAAGCATTAAGGTCTTGACCGTAATTGGGTTCATGATTTTTGCTATCTGCATGAACGCAGGAGTCGGCAAAGAAGGATATATTGGCTTCCGCTACTGGGTCGATCCAGGGCCGTTTAACAATTACCTCATTGAAGACAAACCCGCCCTAGCTAAATTTGTTGGGTTCTGGGCTGTCTTGATTAAAGCTGGATTCTCATACCAAGGTACAGAATTGGTCGGCATCGCTGCCGGTGAGACGGAGAACCCGCGCAAAACCATCCCATCTGCTATCCGAAAGGCGTTTTTCCGAATTATATTCTTCTTCATCTTCACTATATTCTTCATCGGTATCGTCGTTCCATCAACCGATGATCGCCTCACTGCAAGCGAAGGCAGCGGAGCCAGCGCCAACAACGCAAACGCCTCGCCTTTTGTTATCGCTGCTAAGCGCGCTGGCGTGAATGTATTGCCATCCATTATCAACGCAGTCCTGCTCACTGTGGTTCTGTCAGCTGCCAATTCAAATGTCTACAGCGGAAGCAGAATTCTAGTCGGTCTCGCACACGAGGGCTTCGCACCCAGGTTGTTCGTCAAAACCACAAAATGGGGTGTCCCCTACTGGAGTGTCCTGTTCACGTCGGCTTTTGGCTTGTTGGGCTTCTTGAACCTGTCAAATGCTGGAAGCACTGTGTTCGAATGGCTGATGCAGATAGCCGGATTGGCTGGATTTATCACCTGGGCATCGCTCAATATTTGCCATCTAGCATTCATGCGCGCGTTGAAAGCTCGAGGAATTTCGCGTGACATTTTGGCATACAAAGCACTCTTCCAGCCATATTTCTCATACTACGGCCTCTTCTTCAATGTCTTGATTATCATCACGCAGGGGTTCACGGCCTTTATTCCGAGCTTCAGTGTGACCGACTTTTTCATTAACTACCTCAGTCTCATTCTTTTCACTTTGCTTTATGTGGGCCACAAGATTATCGTCCGTCCTGCGTTTGTTAAGCCGATTGATGCCGATATCGATACTGGCCGGGTTGACCTTGACTGAATCAAGATAGAAATAAAATTGAATACAACTTATGAAAAAGTCTTTGCATCAATGTGTAGCATGGGAAATCAATTACATTTCGAACTCCTAGCGACGTGTCAATATGAACTTTTCGTGGTTCGGCAAACTACCAAATTATCTCGAGACTTGAAAGCACTCTCATACTAGTGAAGGTGTTTATTCTAGATCCGCAATGTCATGGAGAAGTGGGATAACCTTGGAAGGTTGGGATTCACCTGAGCACGAGACACATAAATACCATGACGTGTATACTCCCAGGTGCGAGTGAGTGTAATAGAACTGGGGATTCCCCGCAGCACAGAATTTGCCACCATACCCACCAGGCTCGCCTGTGATACTTCATCCCCTAGATGTTTCTTTTCTACTCAACTCCGGTGTCTGAAACATCCAAGCCAAATATTTTTTTGCCCTGAAAGAGACCGGATACCGACATACGCCGTAGTGTCTGTTAAAGTCGAGCTTTCTTCTTCGGATTTACGATTTTTCATTAATCAATGTTCGGGTTCCGGATTTAAATCCGAATTTTTGGTTATCTCCGACGCGTTCACCATTCAGGACTTTAGACTTATTTACCCCATAACACTTTTTCTTCTAATTTGCATTTATCTTGCACACCTTACGTCCATTAACCTAACGATTTGATCTCAACATTTCCAACCTTTTGAATTCCCAACATGAGCAAGCTCCTTGTTGTCTTCGGTGCAACCGGCCAGCAGGGTGGTTCCGTCATCGACTTTGTTTTAAACGACCCCGAGCTTTCGAAAGTGTATTCGCTACGTGCAATCACTCGCGACGCTTCAAAACCCGCTGGGCAAGCTCTCCAGAAGAGAGGTGTGGAGGTTGTGTCTGCCGACATCGATGACTCCCAGTCCCTTCACGCTGCACTAGCCAACGCCCACACTGTTTTCATCGTGACTAACACGGTCTACGATGAACACCTCAAATCTCGCGAATTTCGACAAGGAAAAGCAGCCGCCGACGCATCGGTCGCTGCTGGTGCCAAATATCTCATATTCAGCACGACCCCAGCATGCGAGCGCCTGTGGGGACACCCAGTCGACTCGTTCGATTCCAAGGCAGAGATTGAAAGCTATATCCGCGAACTCCCGATTGGCAGCGCATTCTTCGCGCCAGGAATGTTCATGCAGAACTTTCTAACCAACCAAATTCCTCGCCCGGTCCCTGGACAAGAAGGCGGCCAGCTAACGTACGCTATTGCAAATTTCATCTCACCAGACGCTCCATTTCCTCTCATCGAGGCCGCAAAGGATAGCGGCAAGTACGTCGCTGCTATTCTCGCCGCGCCAGAGAAATACGCCGACTCGACATTATCCGCGGCAACTGGTTTCTATTCGTACCGTGAAGTCGCAGAGATCATCACCCGCATCACGGGCAAAAAGACAATCTATGCCCAGATCCCACAGGAGCTGTGGATTAGCTATCTTCCCCCGAACTACCGGCACTCAATGTCAGCTATGATGTGTTGGATTGAGAAACCCGGGTACTATGGCCCTCAGACGAAGGAGTTGGTCGACTGGACTGTAAAACAAGCAAGGGGCAAACTGACCAGCCTCGAAGAATTTATTGAGGAACACGCGAAGGAGATCTTTCCAGAGTAGATTCTGTCTTTCAATTCTACCCTGTTAGAGGTTTTCCAGCAGGGTTCTTTGTTAACACTCGCAATGTCCATAACCCCTGTCAAAGTCTTCGATACAAAATTTGTCAAGGTTTATATCAACAAAACTGTTATTATTACTAGTATTGGTCTTATTTGAACCTTGGAAATATTAAGCCGAGACCTCAGATATAGCTAAAATATATGGATAGTATCCAGAGGTCGCCGAAAGATATTATAGCATATAGGTATCCTTGTACCATTTCTAAGAATCCAGTCGGCGTTTAATGAAATCGACCACATCTTGATCATACTTCTTCATATAAGTATGATGTGCGAGATTGTCGTCATCGGGGAGTGGTGAGCTGCAGAAATGTCAGTATGGATGGATTCTCATCTCAATTTCAAATCGATATGTTTGACTTACCAACACTGGTTATCGCCATAGTCACAATAGCTATGCAATGAGCTTGCGAATGGATCGCACGACGAAGGATTCAGGCGTGGAAAGATCTGTCAAATGATTTATTTAGAATGCGGTTCTCGTTAGTTCTTAGATGATGATAAACATACTCCGAGGCCAACCGAGCAGTTTCCGGTATTCCAAGGTTGGAAGGGAACGTATGTTTCATCGCCGTAAACAATGTTCGCAATGACTAGAGATGTTCATTAGAGCCACAGAACTGAATACCGACTTTTAGTCGAAAACTCACCACTCGTGTTGTATGATGGGTCAAGTGGTGGAACTGGGATCAACAGAAGAGAGCTTGTTCCGCAAAGAGCTTCCATGGTAAGCACAGCACCCTATTTCAATGTGTAAGCAATTACCACCGCCCTCTTTCATATTATCGGGGACGTACCAGAGAATATCCGACAAGAGCCAGTTTCGATTTCGGGCAGCTTTTCACATAATCCGCAACATAACCCTGCAGCATTAGAGCTCCAGAGGAAACTGCAGTGAACTTGTCTTCGGGATCATGGTCAAAGGGAAAACCAAGGGTTGTTGACCCGGGAATTTGGTCGAGAATTTTGTCAGACAAAGCCTTCATCACGCTTAAATCGTTACCAGGACCCTGGCCCCTGGAAATGATGGCATGGACACCGGAGGCACAATCTTTCGAAGGGACGGTTTGGGCGTGGGTTTCCTGGACCAAACCAATCAAGGCAACGCCCAGGAGAGCCTGAACAAGCTTCCAAGTGAACATTTTCGGTCTATAAAAGTGCGGATGAATTGAAATTGGATGAGCAGTGCTATTCGAAGTGACCGTGTGAGCAAAATTCTTGGCTCCGGGTAGAAGTGGAGGAGTTTGTGCTCAAGCCAAATGATCTTCTCAAGCGATGCGAAACTCCTTTTTTTTGTTTTTTTCTTCTAGACCTCCACAGCTCACGACAAAACTGGCTTGCCTCAAGCTGGCTGGCTGGGATATGGCCCGCCGACCCCTTCAGGGGGTGTTCATTGGACCCTGAAGGAACGTGTGAAACTTTAAAGACCATGTGTGGATTACTTTAAATGTTGAGCTGAGAAATTGCGCGAATCCCAGGGCGGGTTGAGCTCCAAAGCTTGGAATTAAAATTGTGATCGGCAGCGCATTTGTTTATGCGGAAGCTTACTCCGTACTATCACGCTTTTATCCATCCCCTTCCAGACTACCAAACATCAGTACTCGTACGACTATTATCAACTAGGTGGAATGAATTTAATTATCTTGTTTCTAGCTAATTTACCTCTATTTGAAGCTCAATATTTTGTGATAGGAACGACTGGACTCAGTTTTGCATTTGTCGAGATAGTTCACACAGGCAGTGCGGAAATATAACACATCATTAAGACCGCCCATTGAATCTCATTTTATCTGGAGGATAATGTAGAGATGGAGCTGAGTGATTTCTTTTTATAATTTTTTTTTTTTAAAAAATAGTTGCCCTGCAGGGCTGTTTCTATCATCAATCCCGCTGGCCGAGCTTCATGCATAACCTGCCATAGTTAACTGGTAGTCTAACCTACGCACCTAGTATAGTAGGAGGCACAACTCTAGCTGAATTATTCGGTATATGCAGCGAATTGAAGGTTCTGATACTGTTTTAATATTTATTTAACGGGAATCTAGAGAATTGCGATATCCATCTGCACAAAATAAGTATATGTTGCTTGACTACATTGCTCTGCTTCTTAGTGCTGCCCGGCAACACCGTCCACCACGTGTCGGACAAAGGTCTAGACCGCGCCTTGACTATACCCTCTAGGCCTCAGCGGTAATAAAAGAGCACATATCGCGTGAAATTGAAGAATTTGATACTACTTTAATCACATCCTGGCGATTGTGAAAAGTCGTGACGCAAGTCAAGCATGATTATGTCAGCCGATATCGGGGTTCACTGCAGGGGTCAAGAAGATTGATTAACACTAATCAACGAAATAATGGAGTCGTTTTCCGGTTCAATGAATCATCTTGAAATCGAGGGAGAAAATTCTGTTGTCAGATCGCATAAGTATTGGTCGTTTGGAGTGCGATATCCGAAGCTGTTCCGGAACCCCGGCTAAATAAGCTTTGTGGCAGAAGAAGTAACCAGAATCGCCATGGTTCGCGCACAAAAGTTGTGAAATATTGTTAGAAGCCTGGCATTATCGCCGCATGCGGCTCAGAAGAGCTTGATTATGATGAAATTGACTGAAATATGGCCAGCATCAAGCCGTCGCTCATTTCGATACCTAATTCGCACTCTACTTGTCAAGGTGCCGCGTATAAAACAGGTATATCCCTTGAAAACGACATTGAACTTTTTTCCCCTTCTTGCAAATCTTATACACCGTGTTTTTTAAGACATCTATTCTAAAGCAAAATGCGTTTCGGATCGCAGATCGCCTGGCTTTTTGTCGCTGGAGGCGCCCTCTCCTCGGCGGCCAGCAGCTCCAACTGCTCTCTCACTTCTAGTGACACAGACGTCCTTGAGTACACCTGGGTACTGTCGAACTTCCTGAACTCGTTTTATCAGACCGTTCAGCTCAACCAAAGTGTTGCCTCCTTGGTGTCCAACAGCACCAGCAGCTCTAAGGCTCTCGAAAACCTCGAGGGCATTGTTCACGCCGACAACCTGACTGCCGAGGCTGTGAGAGAGGTCAGCTCCCAGGCCCCCGATTTCAAGGAGCCTTCATGCCAATACACCTTCCCTCCCGTCAGCGGCATTCAGTCGTTCGTCAAGTGGGCCTACCAATTTGAGTCCACCCTCAGTGGCGCTTTCATTGGTGCTGCTGGCTACACCCAATCGCCCGAGGTCGCCTTTTTGCTTGCTCGCCTCGCCGCTGAACATTCCGCTCACGCTACCTGGATTGGTAGCCGTGTCAACTCTTCCATGTTCCAGGCAAATGCCACTTCTTTGGTCCCCGCATACGCCCCTAGCCAGGTCCTTCTGAAAACAAACGAGACTGGTAGTCTGGGAACGTACCTCGGCGACTGCGTCTCTGCTCCGAAGAACCCATGCGGTGTTCTTCAGATTGGTCCGCTGGAAGCGAATATCACGTCCAGCTCTGCGGCAGGTTCCTCGTCCAGCTCTGTGGCAGGCTCCTCCACCCCTCTGACCAGCGCCTCTGCCACTGCCACCGCCACCTCGTCTTAAACGTAATAGTGCCTATAGGCGTTCTGTTTCGCATGCCGAAACCATGGTTGATTCGGAAAATAAACTATTGAGCGATGGGATCGGAGTTTCAACATCTATATAATAATCAGAGGTCAGCCCGAGTGTGACGAACTGGGATAATAAACGACTAGACTGTTGGAAGGGGAGTGGTATTTTGTATTTCGACACAGGTAATCTTCAAGCTGATCTCAAGCAATTGAAGTCATAAGAATCAATATCTCATTATTCCCACATCAAGTGAGAGTTTTAACTATAAACAATTCCGCGGTAAATCACATCATATGTACAAAGCATTCATCGTCATCCTATTTTGCTTTTTGCAAGAACAGAAATTTATTACGCCCGCTCATTTCCCTCAACAGAACTTCCAGTAGACCCCTCCCCAGTTGCAAATGTCGCATTTCCATGCTCCTTTCCTGCTTGGACAGAAGTCAAGTCCTTAGCAGCCTCGAAGCTAAACTGGGGACCGCGGTACTGGGTTCTTCCGCGGATAAACCACCAAATTGAAACCAATGTCATCAAGCCGACAGTGATGACGCTTGTATAGTTCATATTCTGGGCGCTAACAGGCATCACCTGGGGAAAGCAGAAGAAAACCACGGTGACTAAAATGTAGGCCAAAGAAAGGATATTGACTGCCATTCCCAGCTTTCTTCCCATGAAGAAAGGCCCAGGTACGATGTTGCGACGGCCGGTCAAAACATGGGGCAGAATGGCACCAAAATAGGACAGGGTGCTCAGCACGATGAAAGACGAGATGAGGGCCTGGAAGGCCGTGGTGCTTCCAACGTAGATACAGCCGAGGCATGTAACCAGTGCACTCATGGCGCACGTAGCACGCACGGGGCAATTCAACGTAGGGTGAACCTGGGCAAAGTAGTTTGAAAAGGGTGTTGCGCCATCACGGGCCAAGCTCCACCACATTCGTCCTCCGGTAACAAAGGTGCCGATGAGAGTCGGAAAAGTAGCCAGGAATAACACTGCAATAAGACCAATGGCACCGGTAGTAGTTCCTGTTGCTTGTCGGTAGATCTCAGCAGTAGGGAAGTAGCCCGAGCTGCTTTCAAAAACCAGATCAATATCTTGAATCGAATAAAACAAAGCGATAAGATAGATGAAGGAGGTGCTGAAGGCTGTCAACATTTGGAGCATGATGCCCTGAGGCACTTTGACCTGTGGCTTGGGAACTAAATAGTATGAACCGTTAGCATACGACTCAATCGGATTGTATGAAACAAATCAATCGGCATTCAACTCACCCTCCTCTGACAAATGGCTGATACAGTCTGGAACTCCAACAGCGAATGCAGCATTGAGAAGACCCGTCATGAAGCAAACCCCGTCAGACCAGCCACCAGTCATGTTATAGTATGTCTTCCATACTTGGGTGGAGCTGGCATGTGTCTTTGGCATGGCTGCAAGAACCACAATTGTGGCAAAGAGTCCGCACATAGACAAGATTAGAGCGAGTCGATTGATCATAGGAATGAACCTATTTCCGAGGCAAACAATCGCACAGCATGTCCAATTGACGATTTGGAAGACAATGAATACCTGCCAGGAATTCCAGGTAATGTCGTCATGGCGAAGCAGGTACATAGCCACCGCTTCGTTGCCCAACATGGAGCTCATTGACGAGGCCGACAGAAGCCAAGCACAGGCGTTGAGATATCCGGTGAAGAATCCAGCGGCGCGACCATGCTTTCCACTCAACACAGTCGACCAGTAGTATACTCCGCCTGCGGAGGGCATCGAGGATGCCAATTCAGCCAACGAGGCCGAAATAGCCGTGTAGAAAACGCTGACGAGGATCAATCCATAGAGTAGAGCCATCGGGCCCCCATTCATGAGCGCAGTCACGATCGTACCACCGGTAGCGGCCCAGGAACTAGATTGCACATATCCATGTCAGTCAAGATCGCGAACAATGAAAGAACAAATCAACTAACTTAGCGATCACAATTCCCAAGCTTGTTACACTCCATAATCCAAAGTTCCGCGACAGCTCCTGCTTGTGACCCAGTGCAGCTTCCTGGCGCACTGTGTCTATCTCGGTGCTGTTTCTGACCCCATTCTCGCTGGCGCTGGCCTGAGCCGCGTTCTTCTCAGTGACGGCCATAGTGTCACGTATGATTTCAGTCAACAGCAATTGGAAATGAGAAAGAATCAGGAGCCAGGTGAAAGAGAAACGAGAGAAAGAAACTCAACAGACAAAACACCCATGCCCCACCAACTAGCACGGGCAGATGTCAAACTTCTTTTGAATGCCCATTTCGGGGCATAGACGGGCCCATCATTTACCACGCGAGTTTCCACGCGAGTTTCATGCTCAAGGAAATCCCCCGAGTCCAATTCAGTGTTAAAACATTTCATGCGCGAGAATCCCTATTCGCCGAGCGTAAGTGGATACATGCAGCAGAACGATCCGGAGGCTGCGATACATTCTCAAACGATCAAAGTTTTCGCCGGTATCCAGCCCGGGCATCGCCTGCACTCAGTTGAAAGTGAAAGGTCCGCTGGGTCCCGGTTTAACCAAAGCCAGACCCCTCTCTGGCGATGGACCCATTTATTAGCCTTCAGGCACATTGGGTGAAACCGGGACTTCGATTCCGATCGTATCGATTTCATGGTTCCAGATCTCCATCACGAGAAAAAGACGCGAGGGACTTGACCCTGCATCGAAATGTGGCTTATTTCTTCACCAAAATGACAGCTTCGTGGAATAAATTGAATAATATCCACACAGCGGCTGTCGGCAATCGCCGTGACCTGCCGTGGCGAAGTAAAATAGCCCCCACGACTTAGCGTGCTTGGAATGCACCTAACGAGAAACGAAGGATCGAGAGCTCATCCAGGGCCAGCGACGCCCTATATTTGTCTCCACTTGTGGATCTTGCCGTCAAAGATCGGCGGGTCACGGCCCGCTGAGTTGATTAATCTTTACCCAATTGATGCGAAACATACGCAAGAAGGCGAAAGAACACATTTCGATGATTCGAAACGTCATGGAGAAAGAAAAAGTGCAGGGCGTGCAAGTGTGCAGTGCAGGGATGTATCCCAATGCGCGAAATTGGGTTTGTTCCTAACTTTTCTACGAGTCAATTTTGTGAATCCAATTGTTCCTGTTCCCATGGTCAGACAAATCCTCCGTTCCGAAGGTTCGGCTATTTCTTCGTCGCCGATACTCGTATGTCTCTTAGGCCTCAGGCTTCTTGGCCGCGCCGATCAATACCCTCATAGGTGGCTCACACCATTCGATGCGTCCGATGGAAGTTAATCAAAGCCGTAAGCCAATGAGATCCGTGCACTTCTGGACCTGAACGAACCTCTCGATCCTTGGGTAAATGGAACTTTCCCGCCGCCGCCGCCAAACTCAATTTCCTTCTGGAGGCCACTGTCTTATGCTGATTCTGACTCTCATTCTTCAAGAGCCTCCGATGGAAGGACTGAAGTCGACCCTTGTGATCCTGTGAGGTAGGCGTCTGAGGACAGCAATAGTCCCATCGTCAGAATGGGAAATGTTTCGCCCACTCCGCACCAGCTTCTGGTGGAAGCGGCGATATTTTGGAGTATTGGGACGGTTCTATACGTCGGCCGAATGTGCGTGTGATGCATCTTTTTCTAGAAGATGCCCCTCGATTCAATGTGAGCAATATGCTAACTAACTGCGTACAAATAGGATTTCGCGCTTAATGACCAACATGTCAATACAAGGGATATCATGTGCGCAAATCTAATCAATTTCCATCGTGTGGTCGGGCTTGACTGACATGTCTTATCGCACATTCTAGGGGACGACTATGTTATGACAGCCACCTTTGTGAGCTCGTTCCAAGTTTTCTGCGATCAGATTTGTGGCTTTGGACTAATCTCAATTTCATCTCAATAGCTTTTCTATACGTCTCTCCTCGTATTGATCCAAGTATCGGCAAAATATGCGACCAATTTGATGGATCCGGGCGAAGTCGAGCAGATACTCGCAGACCCGAAACAAGTCCACGACCGCATTCTCGGAAGCAAAATCGTGATTGCGCTGGAACAATGCATGCTATTTTCGACATGGGGGGGTCAAAACCTGTCTATTGATCCTCTATTGGCGGATAACCCAGAACCTGCCGTCTAGACTCTATGTCAAGATTCTGTCTGTTTATGTGGCGTTTGGCTTCGCTGTGATTATGATCACCTACTACGCCGTCTATTGTCGGCCCTTCTCGCAATATTGGGCGATGCCCGTGTCGAATGATCAGTGCGCCACGTACCAGCACTACTCAATCACACAGGCCGTCTTCAATATCTCATCTGACGCCTTCATGTTCGCCATTCCGATACCACTTATCGTCAAGGCCAAGCTCCCACGACGCAGGAAGCTCCTGTTACTTCTAGTGATGAGCTTGGGACTGTTCACGATAATCGCGGCCATTTTGAATAAGTATTTCAACTTCGCATCGCCCACGACCACCGTCTACCAAATATGGTATATTCGCGAGGCTAGCACGGCGATCTTCGTCGCGAATATGATGTGCTGGTGGCCGCTTCTTCGAAAGCTATTTGGCATGAGAGCTTTCCAGTACATCACTACTCCACGGCGATCATATCAGAAGACCGATGAGAACAATACCCGTTCGAAGACTGCTGGTTCGCACTCAGGGCGCGGCTCATTTTCGGTCACTCGGGCCTTCCATCGGACGAAGGAATTATCGCTCACTGGACACAGCCATGCGGGGCGGTCTAGTCAAGAGGCGATAAATCGGTCGACGGGGGATCTTTCTGGTGATCTAGATCGGCCAGAAATACCCCTTCAAGTTTGGGGTAAAGGCAACGAGAGAGGCGGTGATGTTGAGAATCTTGCGATCCAGGAAGCGACCGTGAAATTTGAAAAGGCGAGTGACGAAGTAGAAAGCCCTCGTGGTAATGGGATCTACTGCACTACTGAATTTAACATCCGCACTGATATTAGAGAGCGGGATTAGCCTCCATGTGGATTTAATATGAATATAGACTTGCATAATAACCTTGAACACTTTATAGAGATTCCCATTTGAAAAAGCACATTACATGTAGTTCCGGAATGTCGAATATTGAATTCCACTTGATATCGATCGATGCAAAAGCAAGCGTCTTCGAAGGTTCCAAGCCGTCGCTGATGGTCCTCTTATGTCCAGGCGCGTCTTGTCTGTCGTGTACATGGCTATATAGCCGTCTGTAGGGGGGTAGTCTTCCAAAGCTATCCTTACAAAATTACAACTGCTATTAACCACTCTTAATAAGGTTGACTCTCAATTTCAGAACGTATTGATGCATAAAGTAAAGTCATAATATCATTCGAATTCTTTTCCCTTGAGCCTTACCAAAAGCAATGGCCCCGGGTCTATGGAATACATCTCCAGCGTACAACACTGAAGCACATGCAATTTTAATTAATTGAAATGAGCCATTTACAGGTTGGCGAACTTAACACCAGCCTTCTTAGCAGTGAAGGTAGCAATGAGGTCCATCAGAGGAGGGGAGAGAGCATCATAGGTATCAAGGCCGTTAGCCTTGAACTTGGAGCGAATAGCATCCATACCCTCGGGGTTATATCCCTGCTCGATGATAGAAGAAACGAAGCCAGCGAATTGGGGCTCTTGCCAGCCCTTCTGCTTAGATAGCTCGGCGTGAACGAAGTCCAGGCCGTGGAAGGGGTGAGCCTGCTCGATGCGGCCGTACATGTGGACGCCGCAGTCGGAGCAGGCGTGGCGCTGGATGACGGCGGAGGGGTCGACGATCTTAAGCTTGGAGGCGTTGGCCTCGACGGAGAGGTTATCGCGGGGAATGACGCCGACGATGGAGAAGAGGGCACCGGCGGGCTTCCAGCACTTGGAGCAGCCGCAGGCGTGGTTGTGGGCGATGTTGCTCTTTAGGGCGACGACGACTTGGTTGGAGGGGCAGCGGCATTGGAGGCTTCCACCGGGGAAGTTAGGGTCGCCTTTGGTGACACCGTTGTCGACGAGAGGGTGGATGGAGGCCATTGTGAAGGTTAGGAGGTTTGTTTGGGAGGTGTAAATTCTTTTCAAATTGAAGTTTGGAAGATGAGAACAGGAGAAGTAGAATTGAATTGCGCGTAGGGGTATATATATCAACAAATGATTTTAGTTTGTACCTGGATACAAAGCTGAGCAATCTCTAGTGGAGTGTAGTACAAATGCTGTGAAGTGCAGCGCATCCAGTCGGAAAACTGCATACCCCTCATGAGGGGAACGGGCACGGCTCCGGGGTGGAGACAAACCGGGGTCGCGCCGGGTTCCACGATGCACTGAATTGGAGCAGAACGCGCTGATAACGCGGATACATTCCCGATGCTCCCGACCTCCCCACGATTTCAGCGCTGGCGTGATCCCGCCCAGTTGCAGGGATTGCGGGGCGGGGACTAAATCGAGTAAGAGAATCCTCAAGGATGAGGGGAGGAAGGTGGTTCTCCAATTGATACTTTTTTCTTTATGGTTCCATGCTTTGCGAATGATCCTGTCCGAGGCGGGTCATCGTTGTTAACATCCTAGTCGGGGGAAATTTGGGCTAGGCGGAGAACATTGAAATTAAAATATCATGGTCGATAAGAGAATTTCCGGACCTAAAACCCGTCCTCGAGACGGGATGCGGTCAGTTGAGATTGTTGAATGTTTCGCATCCATGGCAAGCATGGAGGGAAGACGAATGCAAATTGAGAATGCGCGACTCGACGATTGAATGCTTTATAGGTAAGTGAGGGTGCCCCAAAGGTCCTCTCAAGGTTCAACCTTGGTGGAAAATGGGCACTTATCCGGTCTTCCAATGGACGAGCAGAAGAGAAGAGGTTGAAAGAGGAGAACCTTGAAAGAGACGAGAGAAGTCACCCCTGAGGAATCAGGCAGAAATGGTATTTTGGGTGAACCCAAGGGAAAGAGCGACTGCTTATCTTATCGGACGCGGGGATGCACGTGGGGCTCCTTCCCTTTGAAGACACAAAAAATAAAACAAGGCGGAGGAAGGAGCAACCGGCATTGCACTCCCGTGATATCAACCTCGAACAGCTTCTCCTCTTCTTCTCTTCTTCTTCTTCTTCTTCTTCTTCTTCCTCTCCTTTCTATTCTTCCTCTTCTCTCTATTCTCCCCAAAATGCCACGCTCTCGAGAACCACCGCCAGCAACCCAGCAAACACTTGGAAATGACGTCACGGGTCACCAAGAAGTCCAGGCCGCGGGCACCATCCAGGTACGCGATTTGCGATACAGTCGGTATAAATGGTCATGTTTTGATTCTTTGGTTGGATAGCGCGTGTATCGGGGTTATCGAACTCGACGGGAATTGCAGGGCAACAATCTTACTGCGGCCAGTCGGTGGATGGAGGTGAGAACTCTCCCCTCTCTTTCATGGCTATATACTTCATTTTGACCATAAGGCTGATTGGTTTTGAACCATACCCCAGAAAACACACCAATCATCCATCCAATATCCCGAGAATCCAGCACCCACCGAATGTGACTCCGCTCCAAGTCCGGCGCGCAAAAATTGGCAACGAGCGGTCAGCGTAGCCATTCAAGCTGGAGCCACTGGCGACTCTATATCTTCGGCTCCACCGACGAGAAATGATAACTCAAATCACCGGGAAGAAAAGCGGGAAGTGACAAAAATAATGGACTTGCCTTATTTTCTCGAAATGGTCGACGGAAAACACAGGCATGGGAGCCACCTTCGTGCTTACCATGCAGTCTGGAAAGATTCCCCTTCGAGCGAGAACTTCTTCTACTGGCTTGACTACGGCGAGGGGAAAGATGTGGAAGTTCCACGATGCTCTAGGGAAAAGCTTGAAAGAGACCAAGTCCGCTATCTATCCCCGGAGGAGAGACTGAAGTATCTGGTCAAGGTGGACGATGCCGGAATGTTCCGCTGGGCGAAGAATGATGAACTTGTTCAAACAAATAGCAAGCGATTCAAGGATAGCATGCAAGGGGTTGTCCATGTACAAGACGGTGCCACGCCATACAAAGGAAACATCGAGATATCGAGTCCACACTCCCCTTCGCCATCCTCATCCTCATCCCCATCCCCATCCCCATCCCCACCAGCAACTTCTTCACCAACTACTGTTAAAGATAAGGAAAACGACGACCCACGACTAACGACGCGCGAGGATTATGAGTTGAACAAAGCGGTCAGCAAGTTCTCTCGCATTAAGCCCACTGCCATCTATGATCACTTTGCTGGTAGCTTTTCGACAAAAGACGACATGTGGATATTTGTGGGTATTGTTTTCTATTGTGATGAACATGGCTGACGTTATAATGCAGGTTGCCGATACATCATTTCGAATCTACATCGGCATCAAAGAGCCCGGTGCCTTTCAACACTCCTCCTTTCTCCGCGGTGGACGGATTTCGGCAGCCGGGATGCTCAAAATCAAGAATGGTCAGCTACGCAGTCTGGCCCCGTTAAGGTAAGTCTCTCTTTCAAAACACTCAATTCCTTCAGTGGTTCATGATATTCATATTTCCCACAGCGGACACTATCGCCCTCACTTGGCCAACTTCCGAGCCTTCCATCACTCTCTCCAAGAACGAGGTGTCGATCTCTCTCGCGTCTCGATTAGCAAATCCTATGCGATCTTGGCTGGCATTGAGGGATACACCCTTACGAAGAAGAAACTCCACAACGTTCATGAAAAGCTAGATACTGCCAAAGACACTACCAAAGATAATGTCAAAGACAAGCTTCAAAAACTTCATCTTTCCCCCCACAGGATTCAAAGGCAAGTGAGGGTTGAAAATTGGAGATCGAATTCGCCTGGTATACGTCCGATGTACGATTGGCCCGAGAAGCACAAGCTTCACGGAACATGGTGATTTAGGCCGCTCAACACACATCATTATACTGGCAAACTGCAGAATCTCATTCCACTTTGATGGTCGGAAATATGCTAAACTTCTGAAACTGGCGGCCCTACACAACCCACACTACCTGACAGCCCTTCGAGAATGCAACAAATATCCATACGCCTCAATAACCCGTGCCAGACTAACCTTGTTTCGTCAAGTCGGTTTCCCTCGAAATAGAAAGAACGGAGGTGAATGGGAAGTGGAACATTCTGGCTGTCAGGCCGGGACACGTCAACAAGATGGGAAAGACACATGGTATAAGTGACAAGTCCCAAGAAGGCACTCGTCTCAGTCACGCGGGTGCCGTCGGCTGCTCACCGTCTAGAAAGAGGATTTGATAATGCCTGTGAATATTCCTGCTGGTTCAGGAAAGCAATTTGCTACTCGAGCGAATGCTTCTATCTCTGATTATACACGATACATTCCCAAACTTAATAAAAAACTCATTCGCATACCCATGAAATTATGTAAATAAACAGAAATCGCCTGTTATTCAATAGCCAATGTTCTCGATCTAGACGATAGGAAAATATTGCGTCTCCTCTTCATAAATGCATTATTCAACTAGTGGAAAATTGCTTCAGATCCGTGACGACAGCTTCCCTACGGTCTCATGCAGGACATAGTCGTGGCGCTTGGTCTTGCTTCGTACACGCTCTCCATCTTGCGGGCTCACATATCGGGCCTCTACAGCGGGATTATAGCCAACACCAGACGCCTTTGCAACTTCAACATCAGAAACTGCTCGACCTTTCTGGCCATCTGCCCGTTTGTAAACGGTCACAACCACTGCTCCGCCCAGTCCTAGGTTATGTTGCAATGCGACATCCGCCCCTTCAACGAACCGGTTATTCGCCCAACCCCGAAGTTGCCAAGTAAGCTCGGCACACTGTGCCAATCCTGTAGCCCCAAGCGGATGGCCCTTGGATATTAACCCACCGGATGGATTAATGACAGGACCCCGGCCGCCATATGTAATATCCCCACGGCGGACCATCTCGTGTGCCTTTCCAGGTTCCGAGAAGCCAAGCCCATCAAGCAATAGCATTTCATTCGTAGAAAAGCAGTCGTGGAGCTCGCAGACTTTAATATCTTTTGTTTGAACCTGAGCCTCCTGCATGGCTAATCTGGCAGCATCGCGGGACATGTTGAACCCAACAAGATCAATGGCGCTTCGAGAGTATACCTCCGGCCCATCAGTAAGCATCTTCTGGCCTGCCATCAAGATTGCTTGGGAGCGCAGATGTGGACGTGCGTCGAGGAACTTTTGGGAGACTATCACAGCTGCAGCTGCGCCGTCACTGGTCGGAGAGCATTGAAGCTTGGTAAGGGGGGCCATACACCGGTGTGGAGTTGACGATATCGTCAAGAGAATAGGCAGTCCGGAACTGAGCATATGGATTCTTCTGTGAGTGCTCATGGGAGATTCGGGCGATTTCCGCAAAGTCCTCGGCCTTAGCGCCATATCTGTCGATTGAGATAATTAGTTGCAATTCTTTCTAATTGTTACGGAAATGAGGTACCTACCTTGACATGTATTCCTGTCCGGCATTTCCAAAATATTGCGCATTTCGAGGTGAGTCATGTTTGCCGAATTCATCCTCCATCATCTTTGTAGAAGGGCCAAGCGGACTAGGACGATCATCCCATACGCTCTTGATGGAACCTGGGCGCATCTGCTCGAAGCCGATCACCAGAACACAATCTGCGAGGCCACCTTTGACCATTTTTCGCGCAAGGTGCAAGCCTGTTGAACCGGTCGCACAGGCATTGTTCACGTTGTAGATCTCGATTCCAGTCATGCCAAATTGGTAGAAGATCCTTTGTCCTATGCCGCATAATGGTCAGTTCCCCTCTGGTCAGGACCGACTTCACAACCAACTTACCAGAGGTGGTATCTCCATAGCAATAACACGCGATTCCCGCTTCGACAGAGTCATAATCAATCTTCGCATCCAGCATCGCCTTCACTCCTGCTTCATAACCCAACTCGGGATATTCACGCGTGCGACGTGGCTTGAGGAACTGGGTCAACCCCACACCCAGCACGTACGCATTTCCTGACGAGTTTTGTGCCATGACTATGTTTAATGGTACAATATCCTGTGAATGAAAGCAATTAATGATCTGCAATCCGGGGTATCGATGTAACTAAATAAAGTGGGTTGTGATAGCCGAGAGCTCCGAGGCAAAACTGCCTCCCCGCATTTTCACGTCTCGCCTGCAACAATCCACCAGCTCTGAGTCCAATTGGGTCTAAGTTCACCTTGTGCCGTGCATAACTTTCTTTACCATAAAGGCTATATCAGGTCTTTCATTCTCACGCCTTTTCACAACCCAACGCACCTCGCCCAGCTTAGTACGTGTACTCGTACCTTTCTGATCTCCATCATCTGGCCATTCGACAGTCACAGAGGGTAAAGCAAAAATGGCCGATTCATTACAAACACAACCTCCCCCAACAAGCTTCTACCAGCTGTCTTACCCCAAACCTGGGATTATCCTAGTGACCATCAACCGGGAAAAACAACGCAATTCTCTGCCCGCAGAAGCACACTGGGAAGGCCATGCATTATTCTCATGGTTCGATGAAGAACCATCCCTACTGGTCGCAGTGGTCACCGGCGCAGGCGAGAAGTCGTTCTGCGCCGGTCAAGATTTGACCGAACAAGCTACCTCGCGCCGCGGACCTAAGACTGCGGCCCAACAAGCCGTCATGAACCACCCTCCCAGCGGATTTATGGGTCTTAGCCAGCGAAGAGGAAGAAAACCTGTTCTCGCTGCCGTCAATGGCTTTGCGCTCGGTGGTGGATTCGAGATTTGTCTCAATTGGTACGAAATACTCCTCAAAATCGGCTTCCTGCAAGCGATACTAACCAGACCTGTCCTAGTGATATTATCGTCGCATCTCCAGAGGCTCAATTCGGATTGCCAGAAGTTGCTGTGGGTCTGTACGCCGCAGCTGGCGGTCTTCCTCGACTGATGCGAATCGTGGGACTGCAACTCGCTTCCGACATTGCAATGACCGGTCGACGACTCTCCGCAAAAGAGGCTCTAGACTACCGGTTGATAAATCAAATCTCGAAATCCCCGCAATCCGTCGTGGAGGAATGCATTGAGATGGCAGTCCGCATCACCAGCTTCTCGCCGGACGGGATTATAGTTACTCGGCAGGGATTACGGGAGGCTTGGGATAATCCAAGCGTTGAACATGCAACTACGCGAACAAGACATGAATATGTGAATAAGCTCGTTGCCGGCGACAACTTCAAGATTGGTGTCGAGGCGTTTGCCATGAAGAAGAAGCCCAAATGGGTCCCATCGCGTCTATGACGTAGTAGGGGGTTATGTATCTCAGCGAAGAGAAATCAGCTTGTGATATAGTTATCGTAGCCAGTTAGCATTGAATTTGAGACCACTAGAAATAAGGAATAATTTAAGTTATCCTCCTCCTTTCCGGAATTACTTTTGAGTATTTTCTCGCAGTCAAAAGCTCGATATGCGGTGCTATCGGTACCCCCCGACGCTGTGCCATATGCTCAGTTCATAACTCTTGCTCGGGCCGAGGATGTATCGATCCCCACACCCCTGTGCCCAGCTGTCTGAAATGCGGGATGAAAAGCAATGGATAAGCCTCGACCATAGCCTATCAATATCAGCATCCAACAATAATCGATCACAACAGCAACCATGATTCCAGTTATCATCGGCGTTGCCGACATCAAAAACCGATCGGCCAAGCCTGAGGATGCGAAAGAACCGGCGACTTTAATGCTGGAATCTATCAATGCAGCCATCAACGATGCAACAACCTCATCAACGACTGAAGCAAAGCTACGGTCCAGTATCGACAGTATCGACGTCGTGAAGACCTGGACATGGCCATATTCAGATTTACCTGCACTTCTAGGAGAGAAGCTGGGCGTGCAGCCAAGACACAAAAGCTACACTGACCACGGTGGAAATCAACCGGCGAAGCTTTTGGACGATGCTGCGAGGCGTATCGCGACTGGAGAGAGCCACGTCGCTGTGATAACGGGTGCTGAAGCTCTTGCGTCTTGTAAGTGGTTTTTTCCCTGGGTGGGCTTCTATTTTCTGACATTTATTAGTGGCTGGCTGTGTCAAGGAAGGTAAAATGCCACCTCCTGGATGGACTACAGGGCCAGAAACCGAGTCAGTGACGGATGTCTTTACTCCAACTGGACGGGAACTCACGAAGAGTAAGTTTCAAGCTATTTTAGCCCAACCATGCTGCATCACTCTTTTAACAAAGTTTAGATCTCGGAGGCATTCACTCAATGGGAGCTCCAATTCACATTTATCCACTGTACGAAAATGGATTCCGAGCCCATCGTGATCAATCAATAGAAAAAAACCATGAAGAGTCCGCCATCCTTTACGGTAATTTCAGCGAGGTCGCGGCGTCGAATCAGTATGCGTGGAACTATGGCCTGAAACCTGAAACGGCGAATTCAATTGGGACGATTTCCAAGAAAAATCGAATGATTTGCTTTCCATGTGCGTTTCTTTTCATTCAAATTCAGGGTGATTGATTATTGGATAATCTAACATTCCATCCCCAGATCCCCTCTTGATGAACGCATTCAATACGGTCAATTTGGGTGCGGCTTGTATTGTTACTTCAACCGACTTTGCGAAGCAACTTGACATCCCAGAAGATAAATGGATATACCCTCGTAAGTAGAGACGATATCGTGGAATGCATTCCAAGCTAATCAATTGATATTAGTTGGTGGTGCTGGATTTAGAGAACGCGACCTGTGTCAGTATTTCCTTCCGATACTGTTTCTAACGGCTGGATATTTACTAACTTCGTATAGTCTGGGAGCGACCAAACTTCTTCGAAAGCTCTGCCATCTCCCAGTCGCTTGACAAATGTCTGGAGCTCACTTCGCTGAAAACAGCAGACATTGATATCTACGACCTGTATTCGTGTTTCCCCATCGTTCCAAAACTTGCATGCCACCATCTTGGACTTTCAATTACTAAACCGGAAAAACCGATCACTGTTCTCGGTGGTTTGACCTCATTCGGTGGTGCTGGAAATAATTATTCCATGCATGTGAGTTTTATCCTTTATTATTATATGGGGGATATGCTAACTTGAAAGGCCATCACCGAAATGGCTCGCCAACTTCGCGGAGGCTCTGCTCGCAACGGCCTTGTTTTAGCCAACGGCGGTTTCTTGTCATATCAGCATGTGATTTGTATCTCGAACAGGCCGCGAAGAGATGGAAGTCAATATCCAGACAGCAGTATTTTCAATACTACGATCCCCGATCCCATCCCGCCTATAGATGCCGAAGCAGAAGGGAAGTCCCAGATAGAGGTAAGTGCATCCAGCTGCTGCTAGGACTCGTTCTGAACTCAAAGTGATCTTCATTCTAACACTCAAAAGACATATACGGTTGAATTCGGCCGCGATGGACGTCCGACTCTTGCGCATATTGTAGGCCGTCTGTCAGGGAGTAAACATCGATTCTTGGCCAACCATGGTGATGAAGAAACTCTGAATCGACTCGCCTCTAGGAGTGATGAGCCGATTGGAAAGACAGGTAGAGTGGTGCCTGACTCTGCTGGAGAAAAGGGACAAAGGAGGAATCTTTTCTATCTGGATAGTAATGCTCGGTTATAAGCAAGCGTGCTTGCATCATGTCAGGTGTATCTACTCTACTGGTAGTTACTAGTAGTATACTTTCGGCTCTCAGCAATAAATTAAATCCACGACTTATTTATACAGATTATAGGGAAAATAGTGATTTATACATCTCGAGAAGCAGCTTCATTGATTTATACACTCATATAGGCGAGTTAATTATGAATTTTGTGACACCCGACTGAAATGATATAGAATCTTCGATTTTAATGCTCGGCGCCTCTCGGCGTGCCCCGCATCTCTCATCCGCAATCTACCCCAATGTCTCCATGTCTCTCATAATAAGCAGCTGGATCTGCCCAATACAACCCAAAGGCCGGTGAGAGCGAAGAAAGTACATTGATCGCTACCGTTTCAATCGACACGACTTGGGCATAATGGTGGCGACTCTCCTGAGATTAGTAGGTCATAGTGCCCACACAGCTATTCGCGCATACACTCACCAGCTCTAGGTCAGAAGAAACCATTTGGGGACCCCTTATTCCCTCAGATTCCAGTCGCATCGCTCACAGTTTGCGCGTCCCCTGCATGCGCGTGCCACGGAGTTTTTACAAAATCAAGACCCAGATCTATCTGATTCCCAACGCACTGTACGAGAGGCCGTCGGCAAGATCTGTTCGGATTTCCCCGATGAGTACTGGGCCCGAGTAGACGAGTCAAAGGAATTTCCAACAGAGCTTTATGACGCGTTAGCACGCCAGGGCTGGTTGGGAATCTGTTTGCCGCAGCGTTATGGGGGTTCCGAGCTGGGCATTTCCGAGGCAGCAGTGATGATGCAGACGATTTCAGAATCTGGCGCTGGCATGACTGGTGCTTCGTCCATACATATGAATATCTTTGGCCTAGAGCCGGTTGCAAAATTCGGGACAGAAGAGCAGAAGGAAAGGTGGCTACGACCCTTGATTGCCGGTCGCGAGCGAGCCTGTTTTGGAGTCACAGAGCCAAACACCGGTCTTGACACACTGAAGCTACAATCCACAGCTCGTCGATATGGCGACGGATACATACTCTCAGGGCAAAAGATCTGGATTTCGACGGCGCAACAGGCAAACAAGATCCTAATTCTGGTTCGCACAACACCCCGCGATCAGGTACGCAAGCCGTCGCAGGGATTATCCCTATTTTACACCGATCTTCAAGTTCCTGAAGTCGAAATCACGGAAATACCTAAGATGGGCCGTGCCGCTGTCGACACCAATACTCTCTTCTTTGATGAGTGGCATGTACCGGAAGTCGATCGTGTAGGACCAGAGGATGAAGGCTTCAAAATGATTATCCATGGAATGAACGCTGAGAGGATCTTGATTGGCGCCGAAGCACTCGGCTTGGGCTTTGCAGCTATACGCCGAGCGGCATTATACGCTGGTGAAAGGAATGTGTTCGGCCGCCCTATAGGACAAAATCAGGGCGTTCAACATCCCTTGCGGAGAGTTGGATGAAACTAGAGGCTGCCCGTATGATGATTTACCAAGCGGCTCGCTTGTACGATGAAGGCTACCAGGGTGGGGAGTATGCGAATGCTGGAAAGTACCTCGCTGCCGAAGCTGCATTTGAAGCCTGCGAGAGAGCGATACTTGCTCATGGGGGCATGGGGTATGCGAAAGAGTATCATGTAGAGAGGTATCTTCGAGAGGTCTTCATTCCTCGTATCGCCCCTGTGAGCCGGGAGATGATTTTTAACTACATTGGGGAGAGGGTACTTGGGCTACCTAAATCATACTAGATTTCTAGGCCGTGGAATGAAAAGAAAGAATAATAAAGAAAATGACTCCAGAAAATTGAATTGATTGCAAGACGATGATCTCATCATTCATTCAAAAGGACACTCTCAACTCTGGCATACAAGAGCCACGATACGATTGTCCTTTAATGCATTTATCTCAACAGCTACTTCAAAACTATATACTCGGTGAATTTCGGAGCTATGGATCTTCAGTCTCGCAAAAGTACCGCGGCACCGACGACAGCGTGAAATTCAACAGGTCGGCTTTATGCGGGGGAGGCAGCCCCCGGATTTCCACATCCCACTATTTTTACCACGAGGACTTCCATTCAATCCAAAGCTTGAGATTTCATATTTCTCAGAATATGGCCAGTCTAAGAGGATCATCAAATCGCATCTGTTTTGTCAAACTATTTTCGCGTGCATCGAGGAATGTAGGATTCCGCCTCACCCCGCCTGCAATCACATTTCCAAGTCAGCAACGGTGGATCAATAGCAGTGCTCAGAACAAAGGCCCTTTAGATGGCGTTCGTATTCTGGACCTGACCCGTGTGTTGGCGGTTCGTCTTAATTCCAGCTAGTCGAAAAAAATTCCGAGCTAACTTATGTAGGGCCCTTTCTGTACTCAAATACTTGCTGATTACGGGGCCGACGTGTTGAAGGTTGAAAATCCAAAGGGAGGGGTGCGTTCCTTGCATTATGTATGTCGTGGATTGACGTGCAAAATTAACAACTCCTAGGATGATACGCGAAGGTGGAAAACTGCCGCAGAAAAAGACATTTGGAAATCAACCGAGAATGATATTTCAGCTTACTTTTGCGGCGTGAACCGCAACAAACGTTCGATCACGCTGAACTTCAAGGAAGACAAGGGCCGCGAAGTTTTGTTCAGACTTGTAAAGAATGCGGATGTTTTGTGCGTCAGAATCCCATTAATATTTGCTTACGATTCTTCTGACCACATCAAGAGTCGACAATTTCGTGCCAGGAAAAATGGACGAACTGGGAATTGGATACGAAAAACTTCACTCGATCAACCCCTCAATTATCCATGCTAGTGTCTCCGGTTTGTTGGCCTAAATCTGCCTGTGACCTTCAGCTAAGAGTATGACAGGTTACGGAGCAAGCGGCCCGTACGCCCATCGCGCGGGTACGATGCGATAGCTGCAGCAGAGGCGGGTTTGCTACACATCACTGGTGAAAAGGACGGTCCTCCGACTCGGCCAGGCTTGGGTCTTACAGACATGAGCACCGGACTATATCTCCACGGTGCGATCCTGGCTGCGTTGTTTGCTCGCCAGAAAAGCGGCAAAGGGCAAAAGATCGATGCGTCTCTATTTGAAAGTCAAGTATCATTGCTATCCAATGTCGCAATGTCTTGGCTGAATGGAGGAGTGGAAGCTCAGCGCTGGGGCACAGAGCACCCTGAGCATAGTTCCATACCAGGCCTTCCAAACCAAGGATTCGTACATCGTCCTCGGTGCTACGAATGATCGCCAATATCAGGTCCTTTGTCGACTGATGAAGCGACGGGATCTAGCAGAAGACCCTCTTTTCGCCAGCAACGACGCGCGAGTAAAAAATCGGGATAGGCTGATGAAGATCTTGAAAGCCATAGTTAGGGAAAACTCAACAGATGAGTGGCTTCAAATCCTCGAGGGCAGCGGAATGCCATACGGGCCAATAAACACCGTGGAGAAGGTGTTCTCACACCCCCAGACAGACGCTAGAGAAATGGTTCACAATATACCCTACAGTGCAGCATCCTCGGGGCAGATTAAAGTTCTTGGTTCGTTTTGCTCCTCATTTCTGTGATGCTATTTTCTGCCTAGGTCATTCGATACATCTAGTATAATTACTGACGATCATCGAAGGTTTTCCTGTTAAATTTAGCGAAACAAGACCCCAAGTTCGAACTGCGCCACCTGGATTGGGTGAGCATACAGATACTACTCTCAGCGAGCTTGGCTTTACACTGCATGAAGTAAAGGAAATGCGTGCCAATCGAATTATCTAACGTACGATCGGATACTTCAGAGTCATTATCTGGTTTCCTTGCGATTCTGGCAACTATTAGCTTCAGTTGCATGTGAAAATGAGCTTTAACTAATTTCAGCACCCAAGAATATGTAGAAATTTTCAGTTGAGACTGTGCAAATCACTGATTTTCTCGAACGCGTGACTGTTTGTTCTTGGCTAGATGGGCCTAGACAAGGTTAGACTCAGAAGTACAGTTTCAAAAGCAAACATAGCTTTCTGTCAACCGTTTTTTGTACTACGTATCATGCAGAAATTTCCGAGACAGTGCCGGAAATGAGAGTTGTCAGTAAGGGAAGACTTCCGAGCACCTGTAGCTGGCTGTAACAGGAGCTCGTGCCATGAACCCGTTCGCGCCCACCACTCAGCCTTCATGCAGCCCCGGAGGTGACAACGAACGAGCCCTTCTCATGAACGGGCTGACCGCATGCCCCAGCTCAATCCGAGCCAGTTGAAAGTCAATGCGGCCGCTATTGGTCAGTTTCAAATTGGACTGCAGTGATCCGTCTGGCTTTACAATGGATCGACAGCATCCGGTGCCGCTCAGCTTGTCGCCAAAAATTTCCCTTCGCCAGATCAGAGGCAACAGAGCGGCCCTTCGCGAAAAACGGGATAGTCAATCCTTGAGGCTTGCATCGAGTGTGATGCTAGTGACATATGCTACAATTCTTTCAATTCACCCATTCACCAGAGCGACTAGGAAGCGCTTGACATGGTGGCAGGTCAGTCACTACTTGGAAATATAAATATTTATAAATGTAAAGCCCGACCTCAAGGCCGTTGCGAGGACCAGGTTTCTTATGAACACCAGCGCGAATGCACCTCTTCGGTCGCCTTTCCCGAAAATCATCCAACAGACAGATCCATTCATCCGTCGAGTCTCTTGGCAGCATGGTTAACATCCAAGAAGTTGGCCCTTTTTTCTATCTGACATACCCTCGGTTTCCTGAGAAGGGCTCTGATCCTAGTGATGGACTGGATCGCAGGGTGTATGTTCGTCAGAACATAGATGAATGGAGTGGGAAACGATCAAACAAACGGCAGGTGGATTTATTCATCATGGCCATGGAGAAATTCCAGAAATTGGATCCCAAGGATAAAATTTCGTATTTTCAGATTGCGGGTATGTCATCTGAATTGAACATAGAGCCAATCCATTGACATTTTCGAGGTATTCATGGACAGCCTTTTGTTCGCTGGGATGACAACAGTCGCGAGCCGATGAAAAACGGCTACTGCTTCCACGCACATATTCTGTTTCCTATATGGCATCGGCCATATGTGCTTCTCTTTGAGGTGAACATCTACGGGGAGGGCTACTAACTTGCAAAAAGCCAAAATACTAATAATGCCAATAGCAAGTGGTCTACGATATCATGATTCGGGATGTAATCCCGCAATTTCCCAAGGAGGAAGAGGCAGGCTGGCGTGAACTTGCCGACTCCTGGCGTCTTCCGTTCTGGGACTGGGCAAGAAATGGCCGCGTGCCAGATTTGGCCAAGTATCCTACTATCACGGTTCCGAACCCCAAGGGGGGGAGTCAAGCGAATCAATAATCCGCTATTTCAATTCCGCATGCCAACCGACAAACCTATGCGCAGTGAGGGTGTCGGCACCGAAAATACTTGGGCCGATGATGCAGAGCAGGAAGAGTATAAAAATGTAGGCATAGGCGGTTTCTCTAGAGGACCAATAGGATAAAATGAACTGACAGGTAATAGTTCGGGAATGCTATAGGAACGAGTCGATGGCCCGACGAGGAGGATCAAAAGCCGACAAGTGAAGGCTGGAGACATGGTGTCGTCAATAACCGTAAAGTGGCTGATGCTTTCAGTTCGCACATGGGGTACAATGAGAAGAACCATGGCGCATCTGCGGAGATGGTTTACCGACTTCTCACGATCCCAATGGACTTCACGACCTTTGCTAGTACAAATCCTACATCTAAGGACCAAAAGGTGGATGAAGATCTAAACATCGAATATGTGAGTCTGATCGCTTTTCTGTACTGGGTTGCCGGCTCATCTTGTTACAGATACACAACAATATTCATGGATGGACTGGGGATGCCGGTCATATGGGAAATGTGCCTGTCGCCTCATTTGACCCATTATTCTGGTTGCATCACTGGTAAGGCGCCGCAATATTCTTCCCTTAATTTGTTAATTCATGATACTAACTACACTGTCTCCCAATTCTAGTAATATTGACCGTATTTTCGCTCTTTGGCAAGCTCTAAATCCCGATAAGTTTCTCGACAAGATTCCTCCCGACAATTCCAAGATCACAGACTCGCACGGTCAGGAGCATGATGTCAACAAGGACACACCACTGCAACCCTTCCGAAATGATCCTCGGGGGAACTACTGGACTCCTGATGGTGTTCGATACACTGTTAACCTGGGGTATACATATCCCGAGCTCCAACGATGGGACACGAAATACTCTCAACAGGATAAAACTTTCAATGAAACTCTTTACGTGGAAGATTTGACAGCCCAAATCAACAGACTATACGGTGTCTCCAGGTCACTGGTCTTGGATCCGAAAACGCCCGCTCCAGATGGCGTAGAACATATCGATGGCGGTCTCAAGATTACCGACTTCGGATTCAGCATCAGGTTCTTGAAGTAAGGTCCCTTAAAATTTATTCTGTGAAGTCAATTCAAGCTGATAAATACCCATCAGGTACGCTTTTGGTGGCCAGCCCTTCTGGATCAAACTGTACATTGCCCAGGAAGAAGGTGTTCAGACACCGATCACAGACTTGATCGCAGAAGTGTATAACTTCAGTCAGAGACCAGAGCTAGATGGCTCAACTGTCTGTGGAAATTGCAAAAATGGCCAGACGGTCAAGATCAAGTCAACTGCGTATATTCCAATTACACCAGTTCTTTATAAACTGTTGAAGGCTGGTCGGAAGTTGAAGACACTCACACGCGATGAGGTACTGTCCTTCTTGAGAAAACGTGCATACTGGAGAGTAGTAAAGGTAGGATATTTGCATTTCTCTTCTTAAATAATCGGAGCTGAAGTACTGACCCATTAGCAGCACGGCAAGGAACTACCACGTTATGAGGTTGAAAAGCTCGACCTGGAGATAATTGGAAGTAGCAATGACACGAAGTTCTTCGAAAATCCTGCTCTACCGCCGGCATTTGATAATTTCAAAGAGGAACCCACGATCAGTGGCGGTGCTGACGGCGCCCTTGATCCGGAGCTAAAGCAGCCTAACATTCCAATCCCCTATCCACGGTAAGTATCCGATATAACCTTCCTAAGCCCCAGAGAATAATTATTAACAATATCAACACAGTCCCGTGCGACTCAAGGCCAACCTTCCTCTTCATAGCAACTTGGAATTCCAGAAACAGCTCAAACCTGACAGCGTCATTCTCCTGGAATCCGATTATGTCGACCTATCCAAACCTGCAGTCGGCGTTGACATGACTCAAATTTCCATCACGGATGATGCCGGAAATACAGTTTTCCATATTTCAATCCGGCGGGGCCAAGGTCAGATCATATTCAATGCCAAGGTCAAGGGTTCTTGGGGAGAAGAAGAACGTATCAATTTAGATCATCGATTCCGAGCAAGTGAAGAAGGTGCAACGATTTTGATACATGACCAGGGAGATGGCTATGAGGTATGGATTGACTGGGTTCACGCTCTTTGGTTTGCCAAAAGGGTGAAGAATGCCGTTCCTAAGGCGATATCCTATGGCCTCGCTGATGAGAACGGAACTGCCGTGCTCGCGGACGACATTGAAGTGCGCACTTATCCATCCATGAGGGCTTTGTTCCTTCAGAAGCATGAACACGAAGAAGAAAAACACACGTAACGGAGGAGAGGTAGCTGGTCTCACAATATGTCATGTTACTTTGTCATTTACTTTGTGTCTTGATTTATGGCGATAATAATTTAAGCCCAATCCCACTCTTACATCATAAAATGTCTTGGTCAATAAGAGCAGGAACTTCTTTGTTATTTCAATCTACACATATCGAAGTTCAAGATCATCGCTTATCTTATGCTGGCCAGTAATAGATGCCCTTTTCCACATCATCTTTCAACTCTTTTTTCACGTGCAGAAATCCATCATGTTCCAGTTCGGGAAAGTCATGTCCAATCAGCTCGGCCACTATGCCTCCAAATACAATCGACCCTTCAACATTAAGATGCGTATAGTCATCTGCATTCAGATTGTAAGTATAGGCGTTTTGCGGTCCGATGGCATTGAGATAGTCAGTGCTAGCTTTATTTAGATTGATAAAACTAGCCCTGGTATTATGAGCGGCAGTAATCGTGGCTGCTGTCTCATTGGATAGACTCTCAATAATTTTCGGGGTACCGGTAGAATTATCATAATTGCGACGAGACAATGGCGTGACAAGAATTGGCGTGGCTCCGGCATAGCTAGCCTCCGCCACAAACTTTTCCAGGTTATCTGTATACTGCTCGATCGAAATATTGGCCGCTGGCTTCTGATCATTATGGCCAAATTGAATGGTCACAAAGGGACGATATTCAGTACTGGCATTTTTTATTGTTGCCAGAACATTATCCCAATCTCCACCAGCGCGAAAGCTGACTGTAGTGGCCCCGTTATGGCCATAGTTTTGACCAGATGCCCCATGGAACAAGGTTGTGTTCAGAAATCCGTCTCCCCATCCTCCACCATTTAAACTCTGCTTTGCAGTTGTACTATCGCCCGCTAGAACAAAGAACGGGGACTTGGATAATTTTGAAGCCATTCGAGTAAGAGAAGGTGCCCCAGCCACTTGTGGGATGATAAAGAGCAAAGAGAAAACTATAAATTCCATGATTTTTAATGAAATCTCAATTTAATTAGGTTTCGAGGTTAGAACAGAGCAGTCACAGACTTTATATCCCAAAAACCCCGAAAATTCCACCAACGGGAGAATTATAATATACGCCGTGACAATCCGGATCCCGAAGGCGGGCAATTTGCGGGGTAGCACAACCAAGATGCCAGAGAACTTGAATCTCGCCAGATATTATACCGAGAAATTTCTACTTCCTCGAATTCAATTGCAAAATTTATCGGGTTTATTCAAGCCGATGCTCAGGTGCGCCATGCATCACACTAGATGTTACATACCACCACTTGCAAGTGAACCAACTAGTTCAAATAATGGACACCGGTGGTGATTTATGAATTCAAAGGCTGCATAAATCTTATGCTTAACCTTTTTGTTAAAGTGAGTGGCTAGATAAGCACTAATTATGTTTATATGCCTAGACAGACTGTCCCGCAAGAATCGTAGACACAACTTCCGTGGCTTTGACAAGCTCTTCTTCGTGCATGGGTCTACCAACAACTTGTATACAGCAGGGAGCGCCTTCCACGGCATCTGATTCGTCTGGAGGATCATAATAATGTCAGAAGTAGTCGTTCAGGGGGCCCAAAATCACTCACATCGTGGCTTGTACTCTACGTCTCGCACGAAGGACGCATCTGCAAGTTTGTTTGCTTTCCCATGAGGAACAATCGCCGCCGGGTACTGGGATCAGGTTAGTTGAAAGGTGTAATATATCAATAAAATACAGACTCACGTCTAAAACGTTCCATAGTACAGTATATGGTACGAAGCCAAATACATCATGGGGTTGGGCAGTCCCTGGTACCCAGGCATAATAATTGCATCCACTTTCGACTTCACCATGATCTCCCGGAACTCTTCTTTGAGTTGATTGCGTTGCTGATTCAAATCATATAGACCATCCAGTGATAATGGGGCATATTCATACTGCATGTACTCATGGGGTAGCGAAGTCGATTTCAATGCAGGTATAGTCGGCTCGCCGCTGGCAGCAATGTGCTGAAATGCAGTTCCAGATGGGTCCATTGCAAACATGCGGAATGCCAGCGCGCAGGCATCCTTGATGGATGGAGTTTGCAACGGAATTATCTCATGCCCTGCCAGGCCAAGCTTTTCGCTAGCTTCTTTGAGTGTTCGCAAAACAGGGGGGTGAAGAGAGGAAATGCGGGTCTTCTTGGATAAGACCAAGTCTCAGTCTTGCTTTAGGCTTCACTTCGCGCCACGGGGAAAATATGGCCGTCGAATCAAAGTTCCAAGGGTCATAGTTAGTCACGGACTTCATGAGCAGTTCTAAGTCACGAACGGAGGTAGCCAAAGGACCAGCACATGCCCTGATTCCCAGCAGACCTTTTCGAGAAGAGCTGGTCTGGCCACCATACGGAATTCGATCTGCAGATGGACGTAGCGCGAAGGTGCCATTGCAGATAGCTGGAATTCGAATTGATCCAGCAATGTCTGTTCCAATGCCGAGTACCGAGCCTCGCATAGCAATCAGCGCTCCCTCTCCGCCTGACGATCCGCCCGCATTGAGGTTTGATCGATGTGGATTGAGTGCGCGGCCGAACACATAGTTGTGCGAGTCAGCGGCCTTTAGAAGTCAGCTTTGATTATGATAGTTTCCATTCACTGTTGGCTCACCATCATGGTCTGCGGAATATTGGTCTTCACGTAAGGAATGCCGCCAAGCCTGACGATGATCTCGACGGCAGGCGAGTTGGATTCAACAGGGCCATTCTTGATGAAGGAGGTGAATCCGATAGTAGAGCAGACACCTTTGACGTTGAAGCAATCCTGTGGGTCATTGTTAGCAAGCCATTATCCAAATACCAACACTGCCTCAGATTCTTGCCTTGAAGCTGATTGGCAGCCCATGCAACGGTCCGACCGGCTGGCCTGTCTGACGAAGATGCTCATCCAACTCCTTTGCACGCTCGAGGGCCTGATCGAAAAAAATCTCGGTCAAGCATCGTGTCTGTAACCTGTCAAACCCCATTTCAAGTCGGAAATTTTGCGAATGGTGTGAGAGGACATACCACTTGCTGTGCGATCGCTGCTCGAATACAAAAAGCCGCGGTCACCTCATAGGCCGACAGGTCTTGTCGATGAATCTTCTCCAAAAGGGATGTCGCATCGTAATTCTCGGTTATATCCAACTGTTTAGGGGTTAAGATCCCGCAACGGCGGGGAATATCAATCACGTTGTTGCTCGCAGTTTCCGATATGTCGGTATAATCAGCTGCCAGACGCCAGGGCGAGGGAATTTGGGCTGAAACTTCAGCCTGCTTCTTCTGAACGAGTACTTTCCAATTTTCAACTGCCATCGTGTTCAATATGTGATCAAGAGAATCTATGTGTATTGGCCGGGCTAATGATTTATAAAGAGTGCGGGGGAAATCGTCGCTATTTATCTTCACTTGAGACTGCCAGCTCAGTCTTATGGATACAAAACTACGGACTTGGAGTATACCAGTAGCGCGATGGGCATTTACTACGAATAGGAAGTCCACCCGCAGTATCGAATCATATATCATATTACTAGAACATCTACTAGTACCCCTTTCTCTTACAATCCATGGATATCCATGGATTAACCTGAATACTCATGTGTCACCCTCGCGCCCAATCAGCGGTTTTTGCGCGGCCCACGCCATCAAATGGCTCTGCAACGCCCCATCGCCATGCTTAAATCACTTCCATAATTCTCGTACTTGCCTAACTAATCCATCGTAATCACCGCGCGGAATCGCACAGTTCCCTTAACCATGGCCTCTGCACATTGGTCAGCACTTGGCCAACATCTCGGCATTATCTGAGAAAGTGACTTACCGAATGCTTCATTAGCCTTTTCTAGAGGGAATGTCTCGATCAGACATTTGACCCCCTCAAGTTCGGTAAATTGGATGGTCTCCTCCGAGTCTAGAGCATGTCCACTGGGCCACCCATGGACGGAAAGACCCTTCGAAATCTGTTCGTGAAGGATTGTTAGCAACAAACCGCGTATGAGGTATCGAAATAACAGAAATCTGAGAATAGGAACCCACCATTGCCAACGAGTCAAATGGAACCTCTCCCGCAGCTAAAAATTCTTAGTATAATGTGCATTGAATAGGAATTTTCTGTGGACTTACTAGCGAGGAGAAGTAACTTTCCAAGAGGCCCAAGTCCCTTCATCAGTGGCGTAATGGCTTTGGCATTCGGCGCTGTCGCGACGACAAGTGCCGCACCACCGAGTTTCAGCAGTGCCTCAGCAGGATCTTCTTTGCTGCTATCGATGTATTCATGAGCTCCCAATTCTCGCACAAACTTCTCCTTCTGAGCATCCCGAGAGATGGCCACTACTCGGAATCCGAATCGGTTCGCATATTGAATGGCTAGATGACCCAACCCTCCCAGTCCTTGAATAGCAACGACTGATCCAGGCTGGATATTGAGGCGTCGCATGGAGTTGAAAACGGTCACTCCAGCACACAATATAGGAGCATATTCAGCGGCAGATACATGCGTTGAGATGCGAACCCCAGCCTCGGCGCGCAGAAGGCAATATTGGGCATCTGTGGGGGGAGACTTGATTAGTCTGAATAGTATGATCGCTTTAATGCTGGGTCTTACATCCGCCATCTTTCGTGACTCCATTGATGATGCCCTGATCACACATTTGAAAGTTACCCTTGCGACAAGAGAGACATGTGCCTGTTTGCGTATTTCAGTCAGCACCAGAATATCATTGAGACTGAATTGTCATTCGGGAAAAACCTACCGTCGTGGCCTCCATGCCATGGCCCACCGATGCGATCGCCAATCTTCCATTGCGAGACGTTGTTACCGATCGCAGCGACATGACCAATTATTTCGTGGCCAGGAACGACGGGGCTAGTGTCGCAATTCCAGTGAGTAAGCTATTCACAATATTTATTATGAGAAGCCACTTCGAACTTACAATTTTCCCTTGGCCCCATAGGCTTGCGGGATATGATCGGAAAAGCAAACACCACATGCCTGCACCTTCACCAGCACCTCACCAGCTGCAGGCATCGTCAACTTGACGTCTTCAACATGCAGGGGACCCCCCGCCTCTCGAAACACGGCGCGCTTGTAGGAAGATGGCAAAGACATTGTTGCAGTTTGGGGTATTGAGAACCAGGGATAATCTTATTCAGAGGCAAGGGACACGTTTGAAGAAACTGAGTCTAGGAAGACTGAGGGGTGACTTAAATAGTTCCAGATCGGTCAGGAGCAGTTTTCAGTTCATGTAGTGAATGGTGGACGTGATGACAGGTTTCTAAGAAACTCGCGGAGTTAGGTGCCCTTAAGCCGAATCGCTCATCAATGCACTGATGAACAGCAAGATCGCCAATTCCGTCATTCTGACGTGTATACTCTGAATTTCCAAAAGAAACACTTAACAAAGCGACTCAGTGCATGTTCCAGTCAATTTAATTTTCATGGAATAAAGTGCGCCGACGTTCATGAATCATGACTCGTAATGTTCCTAGTTCAACCCAACGCCTAAGTCCGAGGGTGTGCCGGTCTCCGGAAAAGTCAGTCCAGCTGACTACGAGTATTAAAAGCACTTATCCTAGCCGATCAACTAATTGGTAAAAGAAGTAAAAGTATTCTAGTTTGACTTCTCAAATTTCTAGTTCAAGTTCAGAATTGATCCTTATACATAGAAATATCCATGGATTTTGCAGATCAGTCAAGTTTGCATGGGTTGGATGGGGGCATGCCCAGGTGAGAGGCATATATTGCTCCACCTGAATCGTACAAATCACCTTGGAAGGCTTCAAGGATTCACTCCGACTCATCTGTAATCGGACCCGACGAAAAATGAAAATTGTTTTGGTCCGTCCAAGAGTGGTTTTTATCATGGGCCAACGAGGTAAAATGTTTAATTTTTGCAAATATTCATTCTGACAGCCTTGTTTAGGTGGGCAAAAAACCTGTTGACGCATCAATTGTTTCTCTCTGATCAGATGAAGATCATTTTCCAAAGGTTCAGCTAGGCAAGGGTTCAAATCTACTTTACGGGCATCCACCTCGTGATTAGCTGCAGGGCGTGCATTAGATCGGCCTGACTCATGCGAACCCCTCAAATCCTTGGAGCAATCCGACCATGTTTTTTATTCCACCCCACTCAGCAAAATGTCAGATTCAGAGGGGCTTCGGTGTGGAAACGGATGGCGCTCTTCGAGATTTCTGATCATTGGAACGGCCTGTCTGGCCTTGTTCACAGGTATTTGCTCATTCAAGGCTTTAAAAAGGTTTCTTTCAGCCTAACTAATCTATCCTTCAGAAACGCTTCTCTATGGCTTCGTGGTCCCAATCCTGCCTTATATGCTAGAAACTCGCTTGAAACAAGACCCAGATTTAACTCAGCGCACCACATCTGGTCTGCTCAGTGTCCATGGATTTGCGACTCTCATTCTCACACCCCTTGTCGCCATCGCCGCTGATAGGACGCCAAGTCGCAAAACTCCTCTTATCATTGCTCTTATTGTCTGCCTGGGAGGAACTATCCTAGTGGCGCTGACTCCTGATTGTAAGTCTGAACATCCACATCGTCTCGACGGCTTACATTCTGACCCTCACATAGTATCGTCTATCTATGTCGGCCGAATCCTTCAAGGCGTTTCGGGCTCTGCAGCCTGGATTATTTGTCTGGCGATGTTGACAGACTGCGCCAAAGAAGGACAAGTGGGAAGAATGATGGGGCTTAGCATGTCAATCGTCCTATCAGGCACAGTCGGAGGACCAACCGTTGCAGGAGCAATGCTACAATGGGCGGGATATTGGCCGGCCTGGTCGGTACCCATTGGGCTTATTCTAATCAACATCGTCGCGCGGGTTATCACCAAGGATCTGCCAAAGCCATCCGCTACATCGACGCCTCCTTCTAGAGGTGGAGTATCGATAGATGAACAGGATTCACCAAGAAGAGATGTCGAAGCCGCAGAAACATCTCCACTCCTATCTCAATTGGTTAATGCTCATGGCACAACGTGCGAGGATAAAGACGACCCTGAAGATGTTGAAGTATCTTTCTACTACGAAATGCTCTGTGACTGTCGAGTCCTCGCCAGCATTTCAACAACAACACTATACTCAATACTCATCGCAGGGTTTAACACCACCTTGCCCGTTCATCTTCGAACAATCTTCAATTGGGGGCCTTCCAATGTAGGAACAATGTTCCTTGTTCTACGGGTCCCTGCTATTATACTCGGTCCGCTAATGGGCTGGACCCGCGATCACATTGGACTACGATATCCTACTACGGTAGGTTGGGCTCTCTTAGCACCTTTGATGCTCTGTCTGGCTATTCCTACCGGTCCAGAAAACCATGGGAAGGCATTCTACGTTACCTGCCTCACTTGCATCGGATTTGTCACCACTCTGGTTCAGGGAGCGGGCGTGTTACACACAATCAGTAAGCAGAGTACCACGCTGGGCCGCTTTTATTTTGCTTTCTGCACACTTGCATACTGATACAACTCTTTTTAAGCGATCCTGAAGGATATCGAATCGAAACGACCCAATATATTCGGGCCAAACGGTGGTCTGTCGAGGGTCTTTGCCATCAACGAGGTATCTTTCAATGCCGGGCTTATGCTAGGTCCTTTATTGTCTGGTATTTTGTCTGAAGCAGTTGGTTATTTCAATATGAGCCTAACGTTGGGTAAGTCACTAGAAATTGAGGCGTTGCTAGTGTGCTTTGCTGATCATCCTTCAGCTTCGATTTGCTTAGCAAATGCTGTTTTTGTATGGAGGTTCTTCGAAAGAGGGATTGCTCAAAGCAAAAATTGAATATGTCGAGAAGGTGGAAGAACGTCTTTCGTTTTTCTGATGTAGTATGCGATCGTTTTGAAAAAGTTATTTCGGGATTGTTTACTTGCGACATCGATCATAAATCGCTTCCAGGGCACGTTCTGAGTTATCTGCGCCATTCGTTCATATTTTGGATAGCATGGACAGCGCACGACAGAAAGCCATTTGTCCATAGATAAACTACAATTGAATCATTTAGTAATACCGAGTGCTTTCCACCGTATGGGCGACATATTTCGTTTTTACAGGCAATCCGATCACCCATCTTTGCTGAAGACAAGTAAGAGCCAAAATATGCCAGAATGATAGCAGTTATAACACTCGAGGAGATCCCGTCTCTTCCATCGGATACGACTCCCCATGTCCAGGGCCATCACCTTGTAACATGGATTGTGATAGGCCCTGCTCCTCGTCATCAAGCCTACCAAAGCCATCAACACCTGCATTGTCACCTTTATCATATGGGACATCACAACGCGCCGATTGCAGTGCTGGATAGTAACGACGGTAAGAGAACCATGCGATTAGCAAGCCGAGTAAGGACCCAATAGTCACGTCCCAGACGTCGTGGCGATAATCATCTAGGCGAGAAATAGCGATCAAAAGTGCACACAGAAGTGGAATAAATGCCAATAAGCATCTGCCGAGGTCTGTTCGTGGACGGAAGACGTGCATTTGACCGCAGAAGAAACTACATCCCAATTTGTTAGCGAAAAATATCCCGGCACAATCACGCTGGAGGTACTCACAGGGACAAATATCCTAGGCCGCCAAAGGAGAAGCTGCTGTGTCCGCTAGGGAAGCTGCGCCATCCCTCTTGGAGAACATGTTGGTTTGTCTCGGTGCAGACAGTCCATGCGACCAGCGCATTGTCTGGCGTGCCGCGAGATGGCTTGCATCGTGAAAGCAAATCAGGGCGAGGCCTTCCGACGGGAATCTTGACAATGTCCGTCAAGAAGGAAGTGAGCATCAAAGCCACCAGGAGGCCGAGTATAGTCACTTGCGTCCTTTGCGCACCGGGGTGGAGCACGGCTGACCAGGCCAGTATTATTAAGAAAGGGATGACTCCAGCATAAAAGACAGCCCAGACTAGCCAATTGAATCAGTATGAAGTCGGAAAAGAGGAAAAGTGCGATTGGAGGAGCGCGTACTGACGGGGACCCGTTCATGGACAGCGAATGGGTATTGGATGGACTTGTTATCGAGGGAAAACATGCGATGAAAAGGCGAGACAAAGATTTGAATCTGCACGGGAGCAACCAAAATATTAACAATGCACAAAATGGTCTGGAAAGGACAATGAACAAACCAATAGCCATCCTGCAACTAGGAAGCCCAATGCCATATAGTCCGCGGCGTAGGAGCGCTGGGTGAAGCGAGCCGCGGCTCCGGCAAACCCGACACGATGTAGAATGGGAGATGACCCGGTTGATGATCGACTGCGAGGCATTATGATCGAGTCAAGAGAGCACGGCGTTGAGCAGTGGAGGTTTCGAAGATTAAGGTTGTTATGAAGAGCATGTCATATCATATCAGATCACACTGCTCAACCCTAGCATGACAAACTCAGAGGCAATCGCAAACCTCCAAGACTGTGGAGGAATTTCTCGTTCGACAATTCACATAAAGAAGCAAACAAAAAAGGAAGTTGAGCTGTGGAAGTGGGAAAAGTGGAGGAGTTGCGCGGCCTCGCAAGGAAAAGGCAAGAAAGGCGGAAAGGGAAGCGTGAAGCGTGACCTCCTCCGCTCTTCACTCCGTCACTCCTCCACCTTCTCCATCCCCCCCCCCCCCTCCACTCTCCACTCTCCTCTTTCACTCAACCCTGGCATTACATTACATTCCTCCTGTTGGCACTGACACAGTCAACTGAATTACACTCCTACTCTCGTCCGTCATGGACGACCCCCAGCAACCAGCTGTCACGGCGGCCTTCGCGCCCCCACCGCCCTTATGGAAACACTTCACGCGCGAGAACCGCAACAAATTGGAGGAGATCAAAAAAGAAGCCTCCAAAGGGACCAATGGAGAGCCGGTGCGCGACAAGAAATGGTCACCCGCGGAATTACGCGAATTGGAGGTGCCTGCAGAGCTGCGATGTCTGGTGCCGCCGGAAATCCCCACGGGGGAGTACTCGGTCTTTGGTGAACTACAGACTGTGAGTAAATCCGAAGGCTGCTTGATCACACTGGAAGATTGAGCTGACAACCTACTTCTTTTCTTGTTTAGCGGTCCACAACTCTCCCCTCACTCAAGGAACAAGGCATTGATCAGCTCTACCCTGAACCTGCTACCACCCAAGACAAAGACACTGCGCAACCTACCTCCAACCTGAATCACGCCTACTACCTGCTGAAAATCAGTAAATCTCTTCTGCTCAACTTCCTTGAGTTCGTCGGAGCTCTCTCCGTCTCTCCCGAGCAGTTCGAATCCAAGGTCAACGATCTACGCAACCTCTTCATCAACGCGCACCACCTCCTCAACCTCTACCGCCCACACCAAGCTCGCGAGTCCTTGATCATGATGATGGAGGAACAGCTTCAACGCAGCAAAGATGAAATTGAACAGATGGACAAGGTCAAGGCCGAGATCGAGAGCGCTCTGGAACAAATGCAGGCCCACGCTGGAGAAATCGACCCGATCAGTACATCCGCTGAAAAGGCCCCGCCCGCAAAGAAAGATACCCAGCAGGGCCTGGAAGATGCTCGACAAGTTTGGGATATCTTGGACAAGGAGATCTGAAGTGAATCAACCCGACATTCTTTCAGCAACTCTACTTCCTTTCTCGATCATCCGCCACGCCACCAAACCCCAACGAAAGCAGAAATTCGTCATGACCCAAAGATCGACTATGTTCAGATCGCATAATCGGACTTACCCATGCCCTCAGAGAACACGGATACATCCGTTGGGTCGTACTGCGGATACCCATCCTCGTGGCTGCTCCAGTGTATGTCAGAAGTACTCGCAAAGTGTGCAGGAGGACGAGAAAATGCCTGAAATACCATTCAGGATACATATACACACTACAAAATAACGGCAATTTCCTCAGATATGGCGGCCTCTGGCAGCATCCTCGCCGTGCATGACTTCTTCGGCATATACATTTCCGACCAATACCCAAGCGCCTTGTTTCGCTGTTCGATAAAGATAAAGAACAATACCACCATGGACGACCATCGCCCGGTCGCCTCTATTCAACCAAAGAGGGCCAATTCCAATAAGCCCATCTGTTATTCAGAAGCCCCTCCGCTGTCAATCCTTGCTTACGTGCTTTTCGTGGAATTTCCCCAATCCTGTAACCTACTGCCGGTTCAGTGGAAGTTCTTCTGCGAAACATAGTGAACGGTGGACTTGGAGAAATTGCTGCAATCGACGTCGTCTTCGTGTGGGTGGTGGATGGGCGGAGTGAGACAATATCTCTAGCTTTATCATCCTATAGTAGGAGACATGTACTGCTCTTAGTCAATCGCATCTCTATGAAGCTATCTATTACCTATATACTCCTAGTAGACTTTCTTGATATCAAACTAAGTTAGAATGTCATCATTAAGCCCTGTGGATCCACGGATCTAACTTTTCCGCTTACTCAGCGCATGAAGGCTACTCTTGACGAGAATCCATGATTCCTCCTATACTGTACCTTCTTCATGCATTCTGACGACGAGCCTCGCAAGCGCACGGCGCGTGCCTGCGACTCCTGCTATCGACGGAAGGTTGGTGGTCTAGCCCCTTTGCACTTGGTTCTGGCCCACGCCACTAGTAAAGTTATATACGCGCTCGGGACCTGAATCCATGTCATTGGCATTCTTTCACGCCTAGCGGTATATTTTGTTTGCTATTTTTTACACCATTTCATTCAATAGTTCAGGTGCCTTAGTAAGTATGCGCTAATGGGGCTTGCTTACAGATCAAATGCGACGCGGCCCAACCGCAATGTGAATGGTGCTGCCACCATAACTTGCCTTGCACCTACGATAGAGTGGTGACTCGAAAACGAAAGACTCGGGATGATGATGGGTATGTCTTTGGCTTTAATCTTCTATTTAGAATTATATCTAGGGTTTCTTTTATTACTCTCCACAGATTGAATTACTAACCATATCGATAGTGCCCAGCCCAAGGCCTCGCGTCTCTCGGAACGAATCAGTCGTATCGAGCAGGCTTTAGCCAACAGCTTCCCGGAATTAGATTCAGGTTTGAAGCCTCCTGCATATCTGACGATTCTGTAGCTAATTTGAGGTAGCGACGCTGGATTTCTCCCAGATGCAAACATTGGATGACAACACAACTGCGAGCAGCTCGCCTAGTACAACAAGCAGCCACCTTCCCTCTGCAGTACCATCTACAGTCGGCGTCCATTTTGCCGGACGTGAGCTGGGCGCGATTAGTCTGCTCACGGGTATTCCTTTCCTTCTACCAGAAGGCCAAGAATGGGTCCAGGCCCGCACAGGCCAGACCATCTCGCGGGATAACCTCAGTCCAGCCCGAGCACCGTGGGAAAAGGAGCGCGGACAGAGCACTAACAATCTTTTCAACAATCTTTCGAACCAGAACATGTTCGAACTACCCGATTTGCGAGTCTTACGACTCTATCTTGAGGCTTACAAGAAATCATTCGTAATGCAACGTCTATTCCCCGTCGTGGATCTAGATCTATTCGAGGAAACGATTATATCGGCCTACAAACAGCCACACTCTACTTTCAGTCACGGCCAGGCTAGTAGCCGCGCATGCGTTATTGCTTTTCTGGCATTTGTCTCTCGTCTTCCCCCAATCAAGGAATTCGTGATGAACTCCCCGCTGGGAGAAGTAGACTATGATGCCCTGGCTATCAAAGCCCAGTTCTTTCTCACGCAGGTATTACAAGAGCCTGCGAGCTTGGAAGGGGCACAGGCAGTCACCAATCTGGTGCGTATCGGAGATCTCGAACCGGAGGTTCTTAAGATTATAGCTGACCGGTTTTAAAGACTCTCTTCGAGCTTTCGTCCGGAAACATGCGGGCAACCAACTACTTCGCTGCGATCGCCGCCCGTTTCTTATTCATGCTCGGTGCCAATCTTGGTAATCCCCCACAGGGTTCTCAAAGTATTCGTGCAGGGAAACGACATCGGTCTCTTCGCAATCTTTTCTGGATTTGCTACACCCTCGATAAAGACATTTGCCTGCGAACAGGTAGGCTCTTCACATCTATCTTCCCATCCAACCTAGCACCTAACTTCGATGATAACCCCTCTTTCATCAGGCCAACCACCTACAATCGCAGACGAGCATTGTGACTTGACTCTACCACCAGGATACATAGAGCGAGCCTTCACCGACCCAGAGAGCGAAGAATCGACCAACATTGACCCGATATTCCCATTCGATTTGAGACTCAGTGTGATCAAATCGCGAGCACATAGCGCATTGTACTCGGTAAGCTCTCTGAAAAAGTCTGACGCAGACTTGTTAAAGTCAATACGAGAGTTGGACGATGAGCTGGAAGAATGGCGCGCAGCAGTCCCAGCGCATTGGCGCCCGACTATGTCCTTTGCACAGGATGCTTCGGATCCAAATGTCAGCATGCACTCTGTCATGCTGCGGATGAACTATTATCTCTGCATGTCCATCATTCATCAGGCGAGTAGTCGGTGCAAGGCATGGGTGAATGGAAGCGGGGGGTTGGTTGATGGAATTAGTTCCAGTCTCACATTGTCCGTTGAGGCCAGTCGATCGACATTATGCTACTTGGAATCTGCAGAGCATGTTCTAGTTGATGGAGTCTTTTGGTATGTTGCCTAGTACTTACCTACCATACGAAGTGCCCACTTGCTAATCGAGCTTTATATAGGACGCTCATATACTATCCCATATCTGCTCTTCTTACGATTTTCTGCAGCATTCTTCAGAATCCGCTCGATCCCCGCTCGCGTGATGATATGGGTCTTCTGAGGGTGGCAACGGTAATGATGAGACGTATTTTCACCCGCAAATTGCCAGAGAACGAAGCAGCCCAATTCAGGATAGTGGCCGACTTTGTGGTTGAACTGAAAAGACTGGCAGAGTGTGCCATCGATAAAGCGTGGCGCGAGCAGAGTACCGGCTCGCTTTTATCTAATTAATCTGCGACACTTGGAGATAATGGAAGGGTAGACTGGGGTGTGGTTTAATTGGGATCGTGGTGAGAGAGATTGGTGGACTGGATGCACCAAGTATCTTCATCCTCAAACATTAGAATTTGTCCTGCTTTTGTTTTTCTCTCTCCCCTTTTTGCTACTCGGAGTTTGGGTGCTGAGCAATGAAAGAGGGTTTGATGCATGGCGTTTCTATTGCGATGCCAAACACCTACTAGACTTATTCTACAACCAAGCACAAAATCATAATGTACCACTAATAACCTTGGAAAGGATATCTCCAACGGACTTTCTCATACTATTGGTAGGGAGAATATTAAGCCAACTTGAATGTATACCTTACATTTTCCCTAGTATCCACAGGCAGATTGCATCCGCATTAGAGGGATAACAAGCTTCGAATCTCGTATAGAGGCACGGACCATATAGCTAAGATCATTAAGCATCGCAAAATTCCATTACAAACACAACCAGGCTAAAAACAAGCATCCACATAGAAGAAAATTCATTGGAAACCGTGCAGTTCGCACAGAAGACGAAATGGGGGGGAATATAGAACGGAACGACAAAAGATTACAGGATATCGCTCAGCAAAATGCAAAACACGCGCATCTCCAACGACGAGTCCATCCATTCGAGTTTCTCGCCCAACGCAATTCAGGAGGTGGAGTGAGTGACAAGAGCACCCCACCCACGCCTGCCATCACCACTGGCATGCCTCACATCACGGTACAGATACAACAATCACACTCCTCATCACCACAATCACATCCGAAGCAGGGCTTCGAGACTGTCTTGATAGGCCCTTTAATCGAGCTCCCAGAAGCACTGGAAGGTAAAGTCCAGTTAAACGGATTCGAGGCAGCGGAGATCATCTTGACTTGACTTGACTTCCCGACAGCGGTGGAGGTCGGAGGGTATCTAGCGGGTCTAGATTAGACTTTATCTTTAGTTAGCAGAGTCTCAAACGCTAGGCTGAGATGAATCGGACTCGAACCTGGACGTGGGTAGAATGGGAATATCTTAAGGCAGAAACTGGGGTCTGGGAACTGGGAACTGGGAACTGGAATATTATACGATCGACCAGAACCGCAAACCAATGGGCAAAAAAGGGGTGGGAATGAAACGAGAAAAAGAGCCGGAAGAAAAAAAGAAAAAAAGATAAACCCCATTATCAGGCCAAGATAATTAATGGTAACAGCCCTATAGCGTCCCCGCAAATTGGAATTGAACCGAAACCACCGAGCAGGCAGCCATTTATTTTCTGCGCGCGTGAAGACCTCCCGCCACACACGTCACAGGGTCTAAGTGGACTGTGTGTACTACGTAGGTTAAGGTGTAGGGAAGTGGTAGAGGCTGGACGATGAATTGGATAATAAAGGAGATATCTAGGGGTGTCATGATGCAGGTGTGGTGATGGCAAGTATAAAATGTGGTAAGGCTGCAGTGCCCAGGGAACGGGGATATTTACCAGGTTTACCAGGTTTACCAGGGTAAAGCCGAAAAGGAACTTGGATGCGCCAAGGGGTTAGTTCAAAGTTTAGTTCGATTTGTCTCAAATCATCTGGGCACTCGAAACACCAGACTAAAAGAACAGTTCTACTCCGTACAGATCTACACAGAATCCAAATTTCGTCTCGAAAGACAAGTCAATTGACCTATATACAGCAACAACTTTTGTACTATTCATCACTCATCGCGGAATTCACCGCTCCTGAGACGGGGTAGGGTATCGTCTAGTCATCTCGTGTTGGGGGAAATCCTCCAAGTCTATCCATTAACATCCAAAGTCATAAAAAATAAATAATTCATCAGGCGCAAGCCAATTCAGCGAGAAAAAGGCTTTACAGCTGCTCGACCCAGGGGGCGGCGCCGGCCTGCATCTGGTTGAGCCACTTAACGAGCTCGATGAGCTCAGCACGGCGCTCATCCTCGAGCTGGTCCTCGTCACCGGTCAGGACGGCCTGGAAGACGGGGAGCAGTTGAGGGGTGAGCTCGCGGATGGTGGCATCCTCCCACTTGTACATCTGGCAGATCATGCGGTACAGGGGCTCGTTCTCCTCGAAGTCGTTCTTCAGGGGAAGAATGTTGACCAGGACGGGGAGGACGTCCTTGGTGGGGACGTTCTCGCGGCTGCGGAGGATCATGCGGCTAATGCAGCCAGTGGCGTTGTCCTGCAGGCGGGACACGTTCATCGACAGGCACTGCTCGAGGCGGCTGAGGATGGTGGGGTATTCCTTCAGCATCTCAGCGTCGGACTGGGAGTGCTCGACCAGGCGGCCGACAGCGTAGGCGGCGTTGGAGCGAGTCTGGGGGTCCTCATCGTTGAGACGGTGGAGGAGGAGCTTGAGGAAGGTACCGGTGAAGGGGGTGACGGCACCGCCCATGCCGTTGATGCACTCAGCGATGACACCGACGGAGGTGGCACGCTCAAGGGACTCGCCGCTGCTAGCATAGCGGAGGATGGTCTTCTCGAAGACCTTCCAGAGCTCAGCGAAGCTAGAGCCGAGAGCGGCGGCCATGCCAGAGACAACGTCAAGGGCGGTGTCGATGACGACCCAGTCGAACTCGGAAGTCTCTTCACCGGCCTCAGCGGTCTCCTCCTCGGGACCGAACTCGAGCTGGCAAGGGTGCTGCTTGGTGATGATGTCAGTGACCATCTGGATCACGTTGTGCAGCATAGTCTCGTCAGCGATGAGAGCGGGACCGCAGAAGCGGAGGTTCTCAGCCATGTTTCGGTTGATGTCGGCGACGGTGGCACTTCATAAATCAGATCAGTTAGCATATGGTCAAAACCAACGATCAGAAGCAGCATAGCCAAAAAATAGTGAAGGACAATTTCAGATACAGAACGCCGTTTACATCAATCGCGTCTTTTTGCGCGTCAAAGTGAGCTGGGTTAAGCGAGATGGATCATCATGAAAAGGGTGTGCCTGGAGGCAACGGAGTAATGGCAAAACAAAACAAAACAAAAGCATTAGAACGTACCGGTCATCTTCCTCAGTCCACATCTTGACGGTGGCAGTCATGAGGATTTCACCAAACTTCTTGACCTCCTTGGCGGGCTGGACCTGAAGGGGCAGACCAGGCTGCCACTTGGCCATCTGCTCGGTCTCCTCAGCGATGCTGAAGAGCATAGCGTAGGAGCGGTGGAGAGTGCTGATGGTGCTCTTGCGAACACCCTCGTAAGGGTGCTCAGCAAGGGGCATGACCTGCTCGATGGTCTTCTCGAAGTAGGGAAGGAAAGAGCTGCGAGTGTGGGTAATCAGATCACCGATAACCTCAACGGCAATCTCCTTCTCCAGGGAGAGGGGAGTGGTGGCGGTGATATCGTCCCAGGCATCCTCATCGTCCTCGAAGTCGACATCCTCGATCTCGCCCTCAACGTCATCCTCATCGTCAGCGGAAGCGACCTTGACCTTACGGCCAGCAACGGTCACCTCCTGACCAACAAGGTCCTTGGCGGCCTCGCCGAGCTCAACCTCAAGGTCGGTCTCATCCTGCTCAATACAGGCGAAGAGGCCGTTGACAACACCCTCCAGGAAGGGGAGAAGTCCTCAGAGTAGACCTTGGCCATGGCACCCCAGAAGATGTAGGTGCTCTCCTTGAGACGGGAGTGTCCCAGGTGGAGAGCCTCCTCGGTGGCGCGCATGAGGGGCTCAACGTAAGGCTGGTAGCGCTCGGGTCCAGCGGCAGCAGCCATCTCACCCATAGCGTCAGTAACACTAGCACGGAGATCAAGCTCCTCCTCGCTGTCCTTGACGGCAGCAAACTCCTGGAGCAGGTGCATAGACTCGTCGAAGAAGGACAGGAAGGAGTCACCAGCGGAAGAGGCCAGAGAACCAAGAGCACCGGCAGCGAGAGCCTTGATCTTGAAGTCGGGGTGCTTGAAGAGGTTGTGCAGGATGGGGACAAGCTCAGCCTGGTAGGGAGCAACGTCCTTCTCGTCGAGACCGTCAACGACGGCATCGATGGCGCTGATACCAGCCTTCATAATGTCCATGGTAGGGCCATCCTCCTCCCCGTTGTACTCGGCCATGGCCTTAGCCAGGTTCTGGAAAAGCAGGGGCATCAGGCGCGCGTGCTCTTGGCTGAGGTCCTCGGCGAGGTCATCGGCCAGGCGGGCAACGGCGTGCAGGGAAGCCTGACGAACCTTGGACTCGGAGTCGGCAAGGAGCTGGAGAACCATGGGGAAGATCTCGTGCATCTGGGTGCTAATAAAGTCGGGAGCACCCTCAACACACATGCCCAGAGCCATGATACCGGCGCGGCGGTAGTTGGGGTCTTGGCTGTTGAAATACTGGCCGAGGGCCTGTAGCAGAGGAACAACGATCTGGCTGGGGGGGAAGGCTCTGGGCGAGCATATCCAACAGACCGAGGGCGGAGCGAGCAGGGGTGATCTCGTCGTCGATAGGGGCATCATCCAGCTCGGTAACGATGTGCAGAGCAGTGCGGGTGAGCTGCTCACCAATGCGCATACCCTGGATCTTGAGCTTGCGGTACTGAACAGCCTGCATGAGGAAGCTGATGGCCTGGGTGCGGACATCCTCATCAACATCGGTGTTGGCAGAGATCTCGTTCATGAAGACGACGAGGTCCTTCAGGTGAACAGTGAGAAGGGCGGGGTCGCAGCCGAGCAGGGTCTGGAAGACCTCGAAGGCCTGCATGATGCGGTCGTCATCACCGGAGGAGATGGCATCCTTCAGGATAGCAACCATGGAGGGAACGAGGTCCTGGAAAGCCTTGGCAGAAGCCATATCTTCCTCCGAGTCGAGGTGCATGGCCAGCTTGCTGAGAGCAAGAAGGGTGTTGATTCGGACCTCGGCGCTCTCGGGGTCCTGAATGGTCTTGCTGAAAAGCTTGAAGAGGTCAGAGAACTTCTCCTCGAAGCCCTCACCAAGAGTCTCCAGGATGGTGAAGAGAATGTAGATAGAGACGGCACGCTCATCCTGGTTGCCGCCGTCGGCAGCGCGGAGAAGCAGGTTAGGCAGGTCAGCCCACTCGCCATCCTCGAGATCAATCTTGGCCACAGCGGAGATGATACGAGCAATGGAGTGACGAACCAGGGAAGAGCTATCGCTCATCGAAGAGCGGAGCAGCTGATCCCGAACCTGGGGCTTCTGGTCCTCGGCGACCTTCACCCAGTGCTTGTTAACGTTACCGCGAGCCTCAACAGCCGCGAGTTGACGGAAGTGAGGGTCCTCATGGCCGGTAGCGATCTGAATGAGGAGGACGAAGGACTCGGGCTTGGAGTAGAACTCCTTTTGCAAGATGCCGGTAGCTTCCTTAACATTTCCCTTGGAGGCTGGAGGACGCAAGGAGTCAGCGACATTCATCTTCAGTGGGGGATCAGGGTGGTACATACGGTCAAGGACCACCTGCAGCTGCTGCAGGAATCGTTGCTGATCCATAATTGTGTGATATGAGATCGAAATCAGAGATTTCTTCTTTTAATGTGTGCGTGGAAGGTCGTTAAAAAAATGTCCCAGGGCCTCTTTATGTGAAAGAAACGAGGCTAGAGGGACAAATACAATGAGCAGCTTGTCTTCGACAAACAGCTCACTTTTTTGGGGGGTATCAAGATAAACGAAAAGGAAAAGGAAAGAAAAAGGAAAAGGAGAGGATGGTGGGGGAGAAGAAGAAAGAGGGAGGAAGCAGAAGTATTTGAGGCACGGCAGAAAAAAAAAAAGTCGTCAGGGGTGGGATGGCTGCCCAATCGAGTTTAGGGCGGGCCCGAAAATTTTGCTGGAGCGCGTTGGAGGTCCCACTGCTTCTGTTGGTACTGGGACGCGCCGAATCTTCTGGTTCGCGATGGAATTAAGTTGATTGTTTTGATGGGGTGCTATGGGTTTTTGCAATTTTTTGTTTCTTTTTAAAAAAAATAT